TCCCAGTTGTGGGACTAGAGTAAGTGACCCCTATTGATCTTAATCTAATTTGCATATATAAGAACAAAGCAGGAACGCTGATTTATAGCAGGTTTAGTAGAAGCAACACTTTCTATCCTCAGTCTTTTAGAAATGTTATTTCTGCTGCTGCACATTTGCTCTCAGAGCGCCCCCCTGTGTTGGCTAGGTGCACTTACGCTCCTACAATGCTGACGCTGCCCTCTCTCTCTGGGTTGCCTAGGCATTTCACACGGCCCGCTCGCTCATAGAACGATGCCAGCCTGGCGCCCAGGTACGCAGGATAGCCACTGTCTGTGTAAAGGTGTAAAACACATTGATCAGAGGGCGACGATTAAACTGGGTCGTTTTTAAAATGATGGAGACAATTATAATAATATTATCATAAAATACCATTTAAGTAAAACAAATACTCGTTATAAATTCTTATTGACTTCCCAAATTCTACATTAAATTTAAAATTTTTAAATGTAAAAATCTCAATAAATTAACAAACTGAATTGCCCTCTCTCGCTCTGTGTAAATATTATCTCTTGTCATAATTGTTTAAAAAAGTAATAAAAAATTGTGCTAAAATAATCAAACTGAATGGTGGTGAAATCTGAGATTTCATGATGCACTGAATCATTTCCTGAATCAACTGTAATCAAACTCAGTTGACTCACACGCCAGCAAACTGGCCAATGAAAACTCAGGTTTAGGGGCGGGGTTTGGGGGATGGGGCTTAATAGTGATTGACGGAGCTGCGTGTACCTGCGGGCATTTCGGCCAGTCGTCCAGAGATTTCTCTCAGAGCCTCGGCCCAGCGGGAGGTGGAGTCCGCCATCATACTTACATTATAGCCCATATCTCTGAAATACTCCGACAGAGTGATACCTGGACACACACACACACAAACACACACAAACACACACAAACACACACAAACACACACACACACACACACACAGAGTATAGACAGTTAGATTTGATCCAAATTGTAACTGGAAAGACCAGATATAAGCCTTGGAAGTGACCATTGGCAAGACATCATTATTATGATCATAATTTATCACTATATTATTAATACTAAAACTGATAATGTTAAATTATGGAACAGGAACAAAATCGATAATATGAAGGAGATGAATGACATAATGTAGTGACACATCTAGAAAGAGGTGAAAGCAAAGTGATTGTGCAGCTTAATCACGCCCAGTATTGCAAAGTATTGATGGAAGTGATGTTGATGGTTGCTATGATATTTTAGGTGGTTGCTATGGAATCTTAGGTAGTTGCTGTGGTGTTCCAGGTAGTTGCTAGTGTATTGTTAAGTGGCTGCTGGACGGTTGCTCTGGTATCTTAGGTAGTTGCTAGGCGGTTGCTATGGTACCTTAGGTGGTTGCTGTGGTGTTCCAGGTGGTTGCTAGTGTATTGTTAGGTGGTTGCTGGATGGTTGCTATCGTATCTAAGGTGGTTGCTATGGTATCTGGGGTGGTTGCAGTGGTGTCCCAGGCGGTTGCTAGTGTACTGTTAGGTGGTTGCTGGATGGTTGCTATGGTATTTAAGTTTAAACTGATCTCTGATAAGCACCTGTGTAAATAGAGGCCTCTCGAGCTGCGACAGGCATGTTGGAGGTGTTGGCCACCAGCGCTGTTCTCTTCATTATACTCTCCACCTTACCGTCCACCTCCATCGTCAACTGTTAGAGAGAAAAACATGCAGGGCGCCGTGAGGCAAAATAGTCCCCAAAGAAATTATTTCAGATTTTCCACTATTTTCCATCATCAACATTCCATATAAGCTCAGAAGACTCGTGTAGGTTCACTGGTGGTTCTGGATAGTAAATAAAACGTCTATATTTGTGTTGTAGTCATGGCGACCCCTGGTTCCTATCACCACCACTGTAAAGACATCTGAACCATTTCACACCAAACCACTCTGAATCTCTCTGTTTACACCTCACACACTGAGTTATGGGAGAATTTTGAAAAATTGGTAGAGTTCCCCTTTACCATCGACTGAAATACATTAAAACCCCATACACATAAAGAGACGTCCCCACTGACCTCTGGGAAATCTCGCAGCACTTCAGACATTTCATTCCCTCGCTCTCCGCAGCCGACATAGATGATGACATCACTGTTGGAGTATTTGGAGAGGGACTGAGAGATGACCGTCTTTCCACACCCAAAGGCTCCTGGGATAGCTGTGGTTCCGCCCTGAACACACCTGGACACAAACACAGTTACATTTTCAGCAAAGTTCAGTCAAGATCATGTGGATCATATAAACATAACAGAGCATTATAACGTTGTCCGAAGCACAACTTACATTACAAATGTTCTTCTGCACATTGTGTGCAATTACATATTCCCACCAGAGAGGTCTCCAAATCCCCAATCCTACATAGTGTGGCTTCAAATAAAATAAAGTCTATATTGCCCCCTACACTTCCTGTAGTGTATTACAGTCTGTCAGAGTGACTGTGTGGATCATATGAACATTATAGAGCTTTTTAAATGAAACAGTAGAAGCCATATCGCCCCCTACACTTCTTGTAGTGTATTACAGTCTGTCAGAATGACTGTGTGGATCATATGAACATTATAGAGGCTTTTTAAATGAAACAGTAGAAGCCATATCGCCCCCTACGCTTCCTGTAGTGCATCACAATGTGAACATAGGGTGCCTTTGTTTGTAAACAAACAACATATTTACTTTTTTTGGCAAAATCAATGTCATAGACTACACTTACGGGAACAGAGCGTCCAGAACTCTCTGACCGGTCAGTAGAGGATGGTTAGCTGGCAGTTTCTCTGCAACTGGACGCACCTGACGTACCGGCCACACCTGCACCATGGTGAACTTCTCCTTCACACCTTCAAACTCCAGCTCTAACACCACATCCTAACATACACAGACTCACAGTCATTGAAGTGTATGCAGAAGTTTGGGCACTTCTGGCAAAATTCCACATTTTGTTGACTTTTGAAATGCAAAGAATAAAAACAATGTGCAGCAAACAAAGTGTACACAAACACTTTATAACTATATCTATATAACTTGCATATGCAAAATTACTTACATTACTTAGTCAGTAGTAGCACCATCTTTGGAAGATATCTCAGCCTGCAAATGCTTTTTGTAGTCAGCTAGGAGTCTTTCTGTTCTGACTCTTCCACACAGGACGCTTTTAGTTCTGAGATATTCCTGCATGCAGAGCATGTTTGAGAGCTACCCACAGATTTTTAGTAATATTCAAGTCAGGGTCTATGAGGGCCACTCCAAAAGCTTCTGACTGGGTTTCTCTGTGGATTTTGAGGTGTTTTGGATCACTGCCCCGCTATAGAAGCTGCTTTTTGGTTTCAGCTTATTGACTGTGTCCCATTTCCAGAATTGGCTAATATTTAGTAGAATCCATTCTTCCATCTACCCCTGCAGTGTTTCCTGAGTCACTGGCTGCCCCAAAACCCCAAACAGATCCACCCATCATAACAGATCCACCCCCATGCTTAACAGTTGACACTTTCATCGCATACTGCTTTTTGCTCTCCAAACATACATTTGATAATTGTGGACAAAGTGTTCTGCTTTTACAGCAAAGTTTCTAAAATGCCTCTAGATGTTGTTTTGCGTACAGTAGAACAGTAGTTGTTTCGCTGCACAGGAGAACTGTGAACCACCACTCCTGCACCAGCTAAACCTTCCTGCATGTCTTTTGGGTGTTTGGCTTTGCCCTTATGTTCAGCACACAAGAGGTTAAATCCTTGTCTTTCACGGTTCCTCTTAACTGCCATTTCTTAATGACAGTGGAAATTGTAAACTTTAACTTTGTCATCAGTTTAGCTTCATTTTCATCAGTTTAGCTTCATTTTTACTACCTACTTCTGCTAAAACTAAGCTGTTAGCCAATGACCTGGACAGCACTACTTGTTAACTAAAGTCTTTGGCGAGTAACAATTTCCTCAATCTATGTCTGTATGAGTGGAAAGATGTGTGAGTGAGTTATAATGTGGAAGTAGCCTGATTTCCACATGTCATATGACCGTACTGTATGTGTGACTCACAGAGACGTCGTAGTTGCCTGGTGGTGCGAGGTAGGTGACAGTCCCCCTGCTGCGGGGGGGCAGCATGATCTTGTGTTTGATAAGAGAATTCTCCAAGACCAAACCATAAATATCACCTCCAGTAATGTGACTGCCAACCTGAGAACAAAAAAACAACCAGCACAGTGTATTATTACCTTACTATAACTGTATTATTACTTTTACACTATATAACAGCATTATTACCCTAATGCTAGATAACTATATTATTACCCTAGCCCAATATAACTGTATTTTTACCCTACTGTTATTTAACTGTATTTTTCCTTATAACTATATGACTGTATTATTACCATAATGCTATATAATTGTATTATTAACTTAACAATATATAACCATATTATTATCCTTACGCAAGCACTATAAAACTGTAAAATTACCTAACACTCTATAACTGTATTATTACACTAACACTATATAACTGTATTCTTATCCTTAAGCTATATAGCTGTATTATTACCTAACACACTATAACTGTATTATTACCTAACACTATATAATTGTCTTATTACCCTAACACTAGGACTGAAAGATCATGTTTATATCGAAATTGCAATTTAAAAGAGTGCAATTTTCAAATCACAAGAGCCGCAATTTTTATTACAAAATACATTATCAGCATGTTTTAAATGGAGAAAATGTAACCTAATAACAGAGGCTGTGAACCACCTGTAGATGAGTTAGAGTAATCAGAAGACACTAATGTTCTGTATATGTGACATCACAACCATCATAACTAACTTGTAGTCTGATGCACTCAGACTGCAACCTTCATACCATAAAAAGCAGATATTGGCCAAAAAAACAGGCCTGGAAATAATTTATTGAATATAACTGCATTAAATATTGGTCAGACAAATCACAATTAGGTCTTTTACCTAAATCGTTCAGCCCTACCTAACACTCTACACCTGCATTATCCTAACTCTATATAATTGTTTTATACCCTACTACTATATAATTGTATTATTACTCTACCTCTTTATAACTGCATTTGACAAACGTTCTCTCTTATTTCTCTCAAATACTCAAATCTTATTTAAAGAAGGTTTATCAGTATGGCCATATTGTGTGGCACTGCAGCCAAAGCAATTAAATCCATTATCATACACTGGTCTATTAATCAGTACAGGCACAAATACACAAACGCCCTGTGTGTCGAACAGGGAGAGGCGCACTCTCACCCTCAGGCTCTGAGAGGGAGAAAAGTGCCATTTGGAGTCTCGGTTTAGCGCCCCCACGTTGACTCCGCGAGGGATGTAGATGCTCTGGGTGAGGTCGTTAATGTCCTTCAGGGGGCGCTGGATTCCATCAAAGATCGATCCCATGATTCCCGGCCCCAGCTCCACGGAGAGGGGCTTCCCAGTCCGCAGCACAGGGTCTCCGACAGATACTCCGGCTGCACAGTGCTCAGGAAAACAAACTGCTCTGTAGCCGATCAGCAGAGTTACTACTATGTGTATAAAAAGCCTTATAAATATAAAACTGCATAGCTAAAAACAGCAGTGGATTGTTTTTGTTCGTGATTTCGTCCATGTTTATAGTTAACTGGGTGCCAGAAACCACAAAATTAAGTCTATTAGAGATGACAAACTTTTTTTTTAAATAAAAGAATTTGATGTCATATATAAACACTGTTAAAGTTTCAAAACATAACACTCCGCCATCCCTACAGTCCATATACGGAAACTAAACTGCAGAAACAGCTTGTTTTGAATTCACTGTATCAGTGATGTCACAAAAACTCATTTACATACTTCCACCTGTACAGCCTAAAGCAATTTAGCCCCACCCACTCATGCTGAAGCTATAAGGAGTGTTTCAGCCTGGACTGCTTTTTGAATTAAGCAGCCGATCAGAACAGAGCTCATTTACATATATCAGTCTTAAAGGCACAGTAACAGAAACAGCCTGTTTAGCTATACAGGATAAACCTAGGCTGGAAAAAGATCATGTAAAAATGAGTTTTGGTACATAAAACCACACAAACATTTTAAATGGAACGCAGAGGACAATAAACACAACATATGGGCCCTTTTAGGCATAAAAGGGCATCGGTGGGGTATAAGCTTCCATTACTTGTTAGCTACATTAGCCTCGTAGCTCCAGTGCTACAACACCAAACCATGGCTTTAATAGAGTGCATGTGCTAATACTGGACTATCACTGACTCAGTGGAGACTTCCTCGAGCAGAAGCGGCTGAGGGGAAGTGAAAGAGGGAACAAATCAGTGAGTTGACACTTGGCCTGTGCATCAGGCTGCAGGGTTACAGTGGGGAACGGTTCTGCGGTCAGAAACTGACTGTTGATGATGGGCTAACATCAACAAGTGGGCTACGGTCTCTTACTGTACACCAGCAAGGGAGGGGTTTCTGATAAAGTGGCCAGTGTATACACTTAAAAAACATAGTTCTTCAAATGTTCTTTAGTAAAGGCAATGGTTCTATTTAGAACCATGGGTTCTCTAAAGAACCATTTCATGCTTAAAGGGCTCTTTATATGGGGAAATGGTTCTATCTAACATTAAAAAGGGTCCTTCTATTGTATACAAGCTTGAACAATAGTAGAACTATTTCTGCTGCTATATAGAACCATGTTTAAAAAGGTTCTAAATAAAACCATATACAACACATTCTCCATCAAGCTGAAGAACCATTTCATGATGCAAAGAACCCTTTAATCATGCAAAGGGTTCTTCAGGTGTTCATAGTTCTATATAAAACTATTATTTTCACTAAAGAACCATGTTTTTAAGTGTGTGTACTTCTGAGTGCACTTCCTTAAAGGGGGTCTATATAAGATATGAGAAAATATAAATAATATCATATAACAATATATACGCAAAGAACAATTTAAGCATGAAATTGTTCTCTACAGAACTCATGACTCTAAACAGAACCAACAGAATCATGAGGAACTAATTAGTCTGAGTGGAATTCAATAGATATTTCTATATTACATTATTGTTCAGTCTATTTAGCCATGAAATCATGATGCCTATTATTGCTGCTACACAGTAATATAACCGGCGCTCTTATTAGAACTATTAGGTTTTATTCTGCACTTTGGTTGATGCTCATAATTGGCCATAATTTGGACACAATAATGTCATACGGACGTAATATTGCCATCCTTGGCTCAGGACTGGACTCAAAACATGATGTTGTGGACAGAAAGTTCCCCCACTGGACTCCACAGCCTCCACACACCCACAGATAGGCCGAAGAAGAGGTCACCACTAGATATGACCGCCCACCTAAGCTAAGCTAAGCTGCAAGTGAAGGATACAGGTCTCCTCGTAGACTTGGATGGTCGCCATGTCTCCCTCCAGCCGGATAATCTCCCCCACCAGCTCACTGTGGCCCACCCGCACCAGCTCATACATCGCAGCCCCTGCCATGCTGGAGGCCGTCACCACTGCAGGAAACACATATACACATATATTTATGTTTACATGTTTATACAGAGGAACGAGGACAAACAGAATCACAGCACTGCAACTGTGGGAGTGACTACTGCGCAAGACTTTCCCTTCAGTACAACAGCTACTAATAATTATTCAACCAGAAGATCATTTTACCAAAATCAATAATTAATCACACACTTATCAGGTACATTCACTTCACAACGTCTGACACCTACAGACCATCTCATCAAACTTCAGCACAGATTAGAAAGTCCTGTGTATCAACTACACCAACTGTATGTAATGTGTCTGTTTATATGCCTGTTTGCCTCTCAGTCTGTGTGTCTGTCTGTCTGCCTACCTGTCTGCCTGTCTATCAGTATATCTGCCCACTGGGTTACCTGTCTGGCTCTGTGTCTATCATCTATCGTTCTGCCTATCTGTCTGTCTGTGTCTGTTATCCGTCTATCTGTTGGTCTGTCTGCCTGTTTATCTATCTGTTTGTCTATTTATCTATCTATCTGTTGGTCTGCCTGTATGTCTGTCTGTCTGTCTATCTATCTGTCGTTCTGCCTGTCTGTCTATCTATCTGTCGTTCTGCCTATCTATCTATCTATCTATCTATCTATCTATCTATCTATCTATCTATCTACCTGTATGTCTGCCTGTCTGTCTATCTATCTGTCGTTCTGCCTATCTGTCTGTCTGTCTATCTATCTATCTGTCGTTCTGCCTATCAGTCTGTCTGTCTATCTATCTATCTATCTACCTGTATGTCTGTCTATCTATCTATCTGTCGTTCTGCTTGTCTGTCTATCTATATGTCATTGTGCCTATCTGTCTGTCTGTCTGTCTGTCTATCTATCTATCTGTCGTTCTGCCTATCAGTCTGTCTGTCTATCTATCTATCTATCTATCTATCTATCTACCTGTATGTCTGTCTATCTATCTATCTGTCGTTCTGCTTGTCTGTCTATCTATGTCATTGTGCCTATCTGTCTGTCTGTCTGTCTGTCTATCTATATATCTATCTATCGGTCTACCTGTCTGTTTGTCTGTCTGTCTGTCTGTCTGTCTATCTATCTGTTGTTCTGCTCATCTATCTATATATCTATCTATCTACCAACCTATCTACCTACCTACTTGTCTATCCATCTGTCTGTCTGACTGTTGGTCTGTTTATGTCTGTGAGTCAGTATGTCTGTCTAGCTATCTGTCTGTCGATCTATCTACCTATCAGTCTATGTCTGTCTGTCAGTCAGTCTGTCTGTCCCATTAATTAGCGTAAGGCATAAACACTCTGCCTAATTTTCAGCTGTAATAAAATAAGCCACATATTTTACTGTCTAATATGTAACGTTAGTATAGCCTGAGGTGTGTTTATATATTTTGAACTGGTATCTGATCTCACAGCCACAAGAGGACAAACATGACTATAAATAATCAGCTTATATCTGACAGTCCAGTTACTGACCGGGTCCAGAGACGCCGTGAACATAACCGAACTGTCCCTCGCGCTCTTCATCACGGATTTTAGGCAGCTTGGAGAAATCCATCCTGAGTCCCTGTGTGTCTGAGAGAGAGAGACAGAGAGACTGTAAACAACAGATAATATCATCCATTTCCCTGGTCCTTTTATAGAAAACAGCAAAACAGCATATATTAGATTAAATCTGTGCAAAACTTCTTTTCGGCATTCTGCAAAATTTAATGTTTTCTTAAATGACCCTTACAAAAAGAGATCTACAGTTAGACTACGAGAAATTATCACATTTCTTTAGTAACATTCTTGCAGTCCTGTTTTACAGAAATCTATAATACATTATTTTACTGATGGAAAATAGTGGAAAAAACCTGAAATAATAAGTTTTCTTTGGGGACTATTTTGCCTCACAGCGCCCTGCATGTATCCCTCCACCATGAATGGAGTTTAAGTTCTCAAACTATCATAAAACAGTGTCTCAGTCATCAGGCAGTGAATTCATAACTGTAGTAACTTTCTGTGAGGGAGCTTTTAGAGGTGGACGTCTGGTTCCTATCACCACCACTGTGAACAGTTCTGACTCTGGAAGTTTATCTAGAACAGAGCGTTTCACACCAAACCACTCTGAATGACTCTGTTTACATCTATTAAATGACACTGTATGTATGTATTATTATTATTAGTTATTATTATTATGAACTAAAATGATTGAAAACTATTGACTGACAACGTTTATATTTCACTTTAACTCAAATTTCATATATTATTTCTTTCTATTTGCCGTTTGTGATGTATTGATATTGCTGTAATGACTTGAGCTTATTTTAACAGGTTAACCGAAACCTCCAAAGCAGTTTAACACAGACCCTCTAAATGTCTCACAGGACAGTTAATTATCACTCAGTTAAAGGGGAACTCCACCAATGTTTCAAAATTTCTCCATAATTAAATGGTAAAGATGTAGGTTTTGGCCTTAAAATCCATTCATTGTGGAGGGATACATAATATGCAGGGTGTTGTGGGACAAAATAGTCCCCAAAGAAAACAGCACTACAGGAATGTTACACAGAGGGGAAAATGCAGATTAGTGATGCACAATCATAGTTATGAGATTAATATGCAACTAATTTTTCATTTAAGAATTTAAAATGGCCCATTAAAGAGTCAATAATGTTTATTTTGTGATTTTGTCCAATAGAAAGTGCTAGAACGGTGCTAGCATGTTGCACGTGTTCATTTAGCAGAACACAGTCTGAGCTTCAGGGTTAAAAAATGGCCAAAAAACTCTGTCTGTAAAGACAACAGAACATGAATCGCACATTAAAATTCAGAATTAGTGCATCATTTTACAGCTTTAGAGAAACATTATACACTCTTAAAAAAGATGGTTCTTCAAGGGTTCTTTACTAAAGACAATGGTTCTATATAGAACCATGAACACTCAAAGAACCGTTTACATGCTTAAAGGGTTCTCTGCATAGTGAAATGGTTTTTCAGATTGATGGAGAACATGTTGGTTCTATACAGCACCAAAAAGGGTTCTTCTATTGTTACGATGTCAAGCTTGTAACCCTTTTTGGTGCTATATAGAACCATTTACAGCACATTCTCCATCAATCTGAAGAACAATTTCACCAAGCAGAGAGCCCTATTGTAATTTTAGTGTTTCTGGTTCTATGTAGAACCATTCTCTTTACTAAAGAACCCTTGAAGAACCATCTTTACATCTTTATATAGATTCATGAACACTCAAAGAACCATCTGCATGCTTAACTAGCTCTTTGCATGGTGAAATCGTTCTTCAGATTGATGGAGAAGGTGTTGTGTATGGTTCTATGGAGAACCTTTTTGAAAATGGTTGTATGTAGCACTAAAAAGAGTTTGTCTTTTGTCACAAGCTTGACATCATAACAATAACAGAACCTTTTTGGGGCTATGAAGAACCAACACGTTCTTCGTCAATCTGAAGAACGATTTCGCCATGCAGAGAACCATTTAAGCATGCAAACGGTTCTTTGAGTGTTCCTGATTCAATATGGGACAATTCTCTTTACAAAAGAACCCTTGAAGAACCATCTTTACATCTCTGTAGTAAAGACAATGGATCTATATACATCCATGAACACTCAAAGACCCATTTGCATGCTTTAATGGTTCTCTGCATGGTGAAATTGTTCTCCAGATTGATGGAGAATGTGCTGTATATGGTTCTATACAGAACCTTTTTGAAAATGCTTCTTTATAGCAGAAAAAAGCTTGACATTGTAACAAAGCAGAACCCTTTTTGTGCAGAACCGTACACAACACGTTCTCCATCAATCCGAAGAACCATTTCACCATTTCAGAGAACATTATAGGCATGCAAACGGTTCTTAGAGTGTTCCTGGTTTCATATAGAACCAGTCTTTACTGAAGAACCATTTTAAGAGTGTGGTTTCTAACAGCATCAGTGCAGATGTTGTTGCTAAGTGTCCACACAACCACAGAGTGGATAAATGAATGAAAAATAATCCCTAAACAAGTTTTAATTCTAAATATTTATATTTTTACCCAAACATGACCTCATTTCCGACTGTAAATACACATATTACAGTTCAGTGTGTGACTCTAGCACTGACCCCAACCTGCGCTTAGCCTGAAAACCCAACTGTAAACAAACAGCCACCAACATTAGTAATAGCCACTGACATCACAGCCACACACACCGAGAGTTTGAGTGATTTAACCGTTTCAATGAGTTTAAAGCTGATCGTCTGATCAGAATCAGGTGGGGATAAAAACTGAAAGCAGCTAAAACGAGCCTGTATCATCAAACACCAGCTGAGCTCAGTAACGTGTGAATAAAAAGAGGGAAAAGACAGGAAAGTGTCTGTTATTCGAGCCGCTCTTACCGGGTAATCATGAAATACCAGAGTCCTGCAGTGTTTCCAGCAGATGGAGAGTCACGACAGACAGGCAGGTCAGCTGACTGGAGCAGGATCAGGATTTTAGACGTCACAGCGGAGAGAGGCTCTCCATTAGGGCTCGGAGCACTGATTAACCCTTTAAGGCCCACGACTGGGCTCTCTGAGCGACCTGAGCGCAGAGACGAGGCAATTCTGCAAACCAAAGAGTGAAAAATGTGAGATTTTATCGCTTATTACACTGACATACTACCTTAAAGTGAAGGGGGGTGTCTAAGGGTTCTTCATATTGATGGAGAATGTGCTGTAGGTGGTTCTATATAGATCATTTCTGAAAAGAGTTCTGTACAGCACAAGCTTGGCATCATAACAATAGCAGAACCCTTTTTGGTGCTATAAAGAACCCTTTTCAGAAAAGATCTATGCAGAACTATCTAAACATTGTCCATCAATCTGAAGAACCATTTTAGGATGCAAAGAACCCCTTAATCATGCAAAAGGGTATTTGGTTGCTGGTGGTTCTATTATCATGGTACCATTATCTTTACTCAAGAACCCTCGGAGGGTTCTTTAGTAAAGGGAATGGCTGTATATAGATAGAATGACAACTCAAAGAACCATTTGACAGAACATCTTTACACACACACACACACACACACACACACACACACACACACACACACACATGCATAGATACATTTATATGTGTCAGAAATTTTGTTTCATATTTGATATTTGATAAACGTTTTCTGATTTTTCCTATATGTATACTCATACAAGAACAATATATATTATGCATGAACAATACATGCACACATTTATTGTTTAATATGTGAGATAACTTTTGCTTCATTCCAAAATGTAAAGCAAACACTAAGGTATATTAAAAAAGGAATTGGATAAATATTTTCTGTTTTTTTTCTATATCAGTGCATATTTTCCCTATATTTTGGATCTATTGAAAGTGAAGGACTGCTGATTTTATTTTATTTGAACAAAAACAAATTGATTGTGAATAAAAGTATAAAAAATTGCGTGTATGTATGTTAGATGTCCATCCAGAGGCATATAAACGCCAGTTCTGCTGACAGCTGTCGGTCATGAATGGGTTAAAACTGTTCAGCAGGCAGAGCCAGAATGGCAGAGCAGCTCCTCAGTTTCTCCCTGTCATCTCTTCACTGACCTATAGGGGGCGCACACACTGCAGCACTGCGTCAGTATCGGCCCACTGTTTCGATATTTGACGCGATTAATCTGTTTAGGACCGTCATTTTGACGTATGCAGTCATATCGCGCTGATTCTGCGGAGATAAATATATTTACTGCGTTTGTTTTTATGCGCGTATTGGCTGCGCTTCGCTCCTCCTCACGCGCGGTGTCGCTGCGGCATAACAGCGCAACATCCGGGAACCCTACGTCGTCCGTTCTGGAGCCAGATCGCGGCGGGTGGCGGGATTTCACCGAATATTTACCGGTAACGGCGGGGTTTCGGCCTTTATTGATGTCTTTTTGGGCTTTTCTGTTGCATTTGGGTTCGTTGGCGGCACCGTGCGGCGACAAAGTCAACAACTATGTGCGTTTGAGTTCGCTGGATCCGATATTTCCCTCTCTGTCTTTTGTCAAACGCGCACAGTGTTAGCGTTCAGGGCCGCATCATAATAACCGCACTCGTGTTCTGAGTAGGCCACTCGTTTGGTGCGTTGCGTTTTCATCTGTTCACTATGCGTACTCGTGTTCTGACTCGACTAGCTAGAACGTGTGCCGCGTGATCTTGCTCGTGTTCCGAGTAAACCGCTTGAAAAGCCGCGAACGTTTATGCGCACTTGTGCACTAACAAGGGCGCTTTATCAAGTGTAGAGCGCGAGCTCGTAGTTGTGTTCTATCTAACCTATCTAGGTTAGAGCTCCTAGCTGGTATGTAGAACCTGTGATCGCACTTGTACTCCAAGCAGAACGCTCAGGTAAACCACAGAACGCTAACGTGTATTGGATGTAGACGCTCGTGTTCTCTCGCTAGCTAGTGCGTAGAGCACAAGTGCGCAAATTGTAACACAGCCCCGTCTTGCATAATAAGCTAAGCTAGCTCGGCTGGAGAGCATGTTTAACGGAATTCGGCGCACGTGTCCAAATTCGCTTCTCATTAACGGTTTTTTTGTGTAATTCAAAGTTATTTGTTTTTATCTGCAGCATTTTTAACACTTAAATAATGTTTTACTGGTTTAACTAACGTGGCTTTCGGGTCTTAACCATCGTTAGCCACGCTTGCTAATGCTAGCCCAGTGTTGTGAATGATTTCATAGACAGCTGCTTGAATTTATGAGGATGGTTTAAGGGACTGGTCCTAATTAGAACCATGAGTTCTGTATAGAACCATTAAAGGGCTCTCTGCGTGGTGAAACTTTTCTTCAGGTTGATGGAGAGTGTATTGTAGTTATGTGGTTCTATATAGAACCCAAAAAAGGTTCTTCTGTTGTTACAAGCTCGGCATCATAACAGCATTGAACTTCAAAAAGGTTCCATATAGAACTTTTTCATGCTAAAATGGTTCTTTGCATGGTGGAATCGTTCTTCAGATTGATGGAGAATGTGTTGTGTATGGTTCTGTACAGCACGAAAAAGGGTTCTGCTATTGTTAAGATGTCAAGCTTGTTACAGTAGAAGAACGCTTTTGGTGCCATATAGTTCCAGTTTCAAAAAAGGTTCTGTATAGAACCGTATACAACACATTCATCAATTTGAAGAATGATTTCACCATGCAGATGGGTTTTTGAGTATTCATGGTTCTACATAGAACCTGTTGCCTTTGCTAAAGAACCCTTGAAGATCCGTCTTTTTTAAAGTAATGGCTGTTGATGGATAAACAGACTTATTTCTGTGTTAATTTGATTTTGTTTCCCTCCTTTTCGGTGTCCTAGTGAGATTCGGGACTCCTCACTGATCGACTACGATGGCAGACAGTGATGATGAGTACGACCGCCGTCGCAGGGACAAATTTCGCCGAGAAAGGAGCGATTATGACCGGTCCAGAGAGAGGGAGGACCGACGGAGGGACGACTGGAGTGACCGGTGAGCAAGAGGGAATCAATGTTATTGATTACAGTAGCATAAGATGTAATTGTTTAGTAGGTCTGTCGTTTTCCCGTCCATATTTACGCCTTGAAGCAGCACAGTGTGGTCTGTTTCTCCTCTTTACTGCTTTATTTAATAACACACACACGGTCACTTCAGTATTTCAGCTATTTTCAGCCTTTCACCAGGGGTCGTACTACAGAAACATTATAACCTTAATTAACATCATCTTAATCTTCATGATCTCATCATGAACTCCAGATAAGAAAACAGCATCACACAAACATCCTAACTAGACTAAACCTCCTAAATCCTGTCCTAACTTTAGGATGAACCCCAACAGGGTCCTCACTTCTGTTTAAGGTCCGTTTCTATGGTTTTTAGGCAGCTGTGTCAGCAGCATAGTTCACTACCAGCATAATGAGCTCCATTTATTTCTACTGTAAAACGCTGCTTTCACTGTGAGATGATTTTCTTTTCTAACTCTGCGTTTTAAAGATCTCAGACGCTGCAGACTCGATCTCCACCGCCCCTCTGATCACCTTCGTGTGTTAATGTTGATGATGAAATATTACAGTGATGGTGGTGAATAATGAGGAGACGGAGCTGAACGTGTGTCTGTTTATTAGGAGGAGTAACGTTAGCGTGCTCGGCTAAAGCGTTTGGGAAATGGAGACTGAAACTGGGAAGCGGCGACGCTCTGATAAACAGCAGGGGGCGCTCTCACAATATTCACAACCTACAGTTTATCACACTTTAGTTTAGCTTGACCTTTTTTACATCAGTAATGGCAGCTGTCTCACTAACAAACTGGATTATTTTGAGTACATGTTTACGTTAATCGAGTAGGTTAAGATTTCCTAACTGGAGATAAAATGCTTTAAGATAAAATTCCTAAATTAAGGTTAGATTTGCTTCTGTAATATGATTTTGTGAAGTATCTTATCTTGACCTCTGAAAGTCTAAAAGAGAGGAAGATTCTGTAATACGACCTCTGGAAAATAGGTTTGAGCATATTACTTTGGTCTTATTCAGTTTACACAGGCTTTGTTTGTAATTCTGCTGTTATTTTCTTTCATTTATCTTTTCAGTGTTTTGCTGATATTCCAGTGTAAAGCACTGACACGTTAAATGTGCTATATAAATAAATACAGTAATAGTAGTAACGTTTTAAGATGTTGGATGTTCTTCCGCTTGGTTTTTATTTATGTTTCTTGTTTGCGGTTAACTGGCGTCCGTCGGCCAGAGAGTGGGACAGGGGCCGAGAGAGGCGCAGCCGAGGAGAGTATCGAGACTACGAGAGGGGAAGAAGAGAGAGATTCTCTCCACCGAGACACGACATGAGCCCTCAGCAGAAACGCATGAGGAGAGACTGGTATGACTGTTTGCCTGTGTAGATGGAAAATAGACAGAAACTCACTTGATTGAGTTTTCTTTTCCAGCTTCAGTCTTTATATGCCATAGTCTTTTATATGGGCAGATAATTAATTACAGTATACTGCATATCAGCCTCAGACAGATGCTTAGATGTTTTAAAACTGTGTTTGATGCATTTGTGGAGCTCTAGGGGAGCAGAATGTTGAGATGATGCTGGGTTACTGCACTAAAATATCTGCATTTTATTCATTTTACAGCATTTGTAAATGGTATACTTCTCTGTAACTCTGATCCAGGAAGATTTAGTCCCCATTTCTATGTTGTATAAATACACATCAATATTGAGAGACGTACATGAAATATATTGGCATATTTGCATCGACCCACAGTTCCCATATCAGTGATCATTAATAATAATTTTAATAGTTTTGTTTTATGTGTCGCGTCTGTTACACCCTGGCTATCGTCACGTGGGATAAACTAGAGCACAGCAATAAAGAGCAGCAAATAAAAGCAAAACAAAAATAAACTAACCACAGTGTTCTGTATTACATGACAAGACACACATGATGCAGTCTGTAAATCCGGAATTAATTAACTACAATTCTTTTATTTGAAAATTATGAGTTTTGTTCAAAAAAGAAAAGAGAAGACCTCCTTTGTGGACTTTCAGTGCCTCTAAAAATCTGGAGTGCAATAAGAAACCTGCTCATCATTCTTACTGTGTCCTGTCCAGGGATGACCATGGCGGCGACCCGTACCACGGTGGTTACGATCTGGGCTACGGTGGTGGAGGTGGACCCAGTTACGCCCCTCCTCAGCCCTGGGGTCACCCAGACATGCATCTGATGCAGCCTCATCACGGCATCCCCATTCAGGCCAGGTGAGGGCGCCGTCCACGGCGAATCTGCATGAACACAGTGAGCCGGTCAGCCACTCTGAGCGCTGTTTGAGTGTCGTGCTGCGTCTGATCATAAGGGTGCCTACACGCTAGAGGCTGATGCAGCATCAGAAACGCAGCCCTGCAATGTATTTCAGTTAGGACGCTGCGTCAGCTCTGTCGGACTAAAACCGTGTCTGTATGAAGTGAAACGACGCATCATAGAGCGTCAAAAAAGTTCAGACCACTTCAACTTTTGCAGTGACGCATTCTGACGTCGAGGCACATCAACCAGTAGAAACGTTCGGGCAGAAGACAGATGAAAATCCAGGATAGAGGACAGTAACAACGCTCTTCTGTGTGACTCCATTGCCTTCGTGGCTGTTGTCTACTTGGCTCTGTATTTGGCCATCACCAAAATTTTCTTTCGATGGCCTGTATGTCCAAATGTTCTGTTTTTCCAGCTGGATTTTGAACTGCACAAACTGCCCCACTCCAGCCGTGTACACGCCTTCTAGACGGACAAGATCTGCATGCATCTGTGTCTGCCGCTCCGTCTTTGCGTTGTCTAGTGTGTAGGCACCCTAAGTGTTTTTCCACCAGACGCTGTGGTGCAGTACAAATCCGTGACCACTAGGGGTGCTTGATGTGCATGTGTTCAAATAACGAAATCACTGTTTGGGTACGTCAGAGAATATATTGTCGCTGTCCAAAAAAATTACATGCACCATTTATGTCGAGGGTTTTTTTAGTGTGACACTTTTCCGTGGGCTCTTGTTGTTCTAAGCTGAAGCCTCGTTGTCGGGAAATTTGAATTTGTCACATGAATTTTGATAAAATGAGGTCCTTGAGAGCATAATTGGTCTACCTTGATTAGGGCTTCGCAGTGCATGTCATGCTAAACAAAAGAAATTGTGCACAAACTGAGCATTTTTTCAAAAATAATGGGAGACATTTTCATGATAATGTACGTATGTTTTTATTTTTACCATATTGCTGCCCCTATTTTAACCTGCTTTTTCTTCAGGTTGGGTAATATCCATGACCCGGACCTGGGTCCGCCCCCGCCGGTGATGAAGACCTTTAAAGAGTTCCTGCTCTCTCTGGACGACTCTGTGGACGAGACAGAGTCCGTTAAACGCTACAACGAGTATAAGGTGGAGTTCAGGCGGCAGCAGATGCAGGACTTCTTCCTGGCTCACAAAGACGAAGAGTGGTACGGCAGGAGCTGCCATTTTAGCTCCGTTTCACCTTCTGCACGTAGTATGACGATTAGCGCTGTAGGTTGAGGGAAATAGTAGATATACGTCTGCTGACGGGTCCTGGAAGCATTCTATATCAGATTTAGCAGGTGGGCTTAGTTTTCATGTTGTCATCAGATTTATACAGGGTAAGGGTGTAACGATTCACAAAAAAAACGTAAAATTTTATACAGTGCAGTGGCGTCTCGGTACGATACATTTTTTCGATAATATAGAGATCCTGTATGTTTGCCTGGTGTTAGTGTTGATCCGTCAATGTTTGCACCATCAGTTCAGCTTGCATGCACACTAGGGACATAGCGATGCACGTTTTTCAAGTTAATGTGAATTTCAGTATGTGGGTTTTGATATTTTGTGCAAGAAAAATGCTGAATTGGCTCAAATAGAAGTTGAATAGAACTGCCATTACACACTCTTTAAAAAATTAAACCCAAAAATGTTCTGTAATCAATATATAAAAGCATAGCACAAGCCCCGCCCCCTCCCTGCCCACTTTACTCTGACAGGCCGCACTCACATGCCTAGTTTTGATTATTGATGGTGATTTCCACGAACGGTCGTACATGAGATGGACAGAAGAGACTGAGAGGTGTATCGGAGTTTTAAACGTCGACTTGCTGTTTCAAATCTCTTCAATTTTTCAGCATTTTCAGTATGTATTGAAATCGTTACACCCCTAATACAGGGACTGGGTTAGATAATGCTAACTGATAATAATCTAATGTATGTCAGTAACGAGGCTGTTTTGTCTAATTAGGACTAAATTTGTGTAGGGTGTTTATGGGGTTCGGGGAGTTTGTTTTTCAGGCTTTTTGTGTATTTGTGATCAGTACTGATTCTAATTACAGTGAAGGAGTAGTCCAGTGTTTTTCAACCTGACTTCTGTCTGCTGAACCTGTACCATATAGTCATTTACCATGGACAACAGCTTTGACATGATTTCCAGTTCTTTAAAGGGGAATTCCACCAGTATTTTCATCTCTAACATTCCTGCAGTGCTGTTTTATAGTAGTCTATGATATTTGTGTAGTATTCAGTAGTAAACTACAGAGTAATTCTGCAGAAACTCTAATATTGCTACAGTCCTTTTTTCTGAATATCTCACTCTAAACTGAGTTTTAAAGGGGAATTCCACCAATTTCTCAATTTCTGCAGTCATTCAGAGATTCAGAGTGGTTTGGTGTGAAATGGTTCAGATGTCTTTACAGTGGTGGTGATAGGAACCAGGGGTCGCCATGACTACAGCACAAATATAGACATTTTATTTACTATCCAGAACCACCAGTGAACCTACACGAGTCTTCTGAGTTTATATGGAATGTTGATGATGGAAAATAGTGGAAAATCTGAAATAAGAAGTTTTCTTTTCTTGAATGTATCCCTCCACCATGAATGGACTCAAATAAATGGATTAAGATGTTTTAGGCCAAAACTATCATAAAACAGTATCTCAGTCATTCATGTAATAAGAGGCTTTTAGAGCTGGATGTCTGGTTCCTATCACCACCACTGTGAACAGTTCTGACTCGGTAAGTTTCTCTAGAACAGAGCGTTTCACACCAAACCACTCTGAACCCCTCTGTTTACAACTTACCAATTACTTGTGCAGAATTTTTGAAAAATCGGTGACGTTCCCCTTTAAAGTGGTTCCTCTGTAAAATCTGTATAAAGAGGCTACTGTGAAAAACACTGAACTATTCCTGTAACATTAACTGCTAGTGTAGTTTCTTGTTGTCTTGTTCTTAACTGTGAACATTTTCTCCACAGGTTTGTTTTTTTTTAAAGGTGTCATTATTTTGATTTAGCTGCTTTATTTATTTTGTCCTTTCTTTTCGTTCTGAATTAACAAACCAAATGCTTCTTCCCTCCTTCACGGCAAGGTTTCGGAAGACTCACGGACCCTCCGCAGGAAGCGCTGGTTAGCTAGTCAGGGCTCGCACTGCGCACAATGCAGGTGCTCTTAGAAACACAGTTGCTAGGGACGCTAGCTAGACAGCCGAAGCGACAGAAACCCAATCTGAAGATGGTTTTATTTTCTTTAGTGTCTGATGCCTTTTTCTCCCCTCTTTTTGTTTTTGGCCTTTTTTTTCCTTTTTTCGTAAATCGTTTTTGGTATGCGGATCTAATTGAAATGCCGAGCGTGCAGAAATGCTGTGTAAGCCCGAGGAGACCTCTCTGTCTATATGTGTGGTAATACTGGGAGTACTGCAGGTAAATTTAGTACACTCAATGAGAAAAAATGTTTTTAGCTGCTCAAATCTCATGTCTTCATTAATTCATCTGTGTTTCTCCCTTTTTTGTGGTGACAGGACCAGTGATTTTGGTGGTTAGGGAAGGACACTGCTAGCCTCAAAGAGAAAGTCTTAAAATTAGATATAACAATAATAAAGTTAGGAAAAGTATTCAGATCGCCCTCTGCTGGTTGCATTCAAAATGCAGCTTAACAGTGAACTTTAGCTTTAAAATTGCAAGTTGTACAACCTAATGTGGCACGTCACCCACTTAAGTTATATTTGACCCTAAATAAGTAGTGGGTGATAGGCCAGTTCATCCTACATGTCCTGTGTATATATACACTGATCAGGCGTAACATTATGACCACCTCCTTGTTTCTACGCTCATTGTCCATTTTATCAGCTCCACTTACTATATAGGTGCACTTTGTAGTTCTACAGTTACAGACTGTAGTCCATCTGTTTCTCTGATACTTTGTTAGCCCCCTTTTACCCTGTTCTTCAGTGGTCAGGACCCCCATGGACCCTCACAGAGCAGGTACTATTTGGGTGGTGGATCATTCTCAGCACTGCAGTAACACTGACGTGGTGGTGGTGTGTTAGTGTGTGTTGCGCTGGTCTGAGTGGACCAGACACAGCAGTGCTGCTGGAGTTTTTAAACACCTCAGTGTCACTGCTGGACTGAGAATAGTCCACCAACCAAAAATATCCAGCCAACAGCGTCCTGTGACCACTGATGAAGGACTAGAGGATGACCAACACAAACTGTGCAGCAGCAGATGAGCTATCGTCTCTGACTTTACATCTACAAGGTGGACCGACAAGGTAGGAGTGTCTAATAGAGTGGACAGTGAGTGGACACAGTGTTTAAAACGCCCAGCAGTACTGCTGTGTCTGATCCACTCAACACTGTGCTGGTAAAAAGAAGGGATCTCCTGTAATAAGCCATGTTAACCCACAGAATAGGTTTTCTTAAGCGTCTAAAATGGCTTCATTGGAGGAAAGCAAATTATACAGTATATAAATGATATAGAATAATATATAAATTATCACAGAACTTTACACTACGCGTTGTTGATGTCACTGTCTCGCTTTTCATAATGCTGTGGTGCTTCTATTTAGACTGGAAGTCGATCATAAAAAGAATCAGTTCTCATTTCAGGCATTCGTTAATTGATTGTTCTAACACACACACACACACACACACACACACACACACACACACACACACTAACAGATTGACTGCATTTAACTTTGTAGAAAGTGTAAAAGGAAAATATAGATTTATAATTAAACCTCACCAGGTGCTGAAACACCTGCCTACTAGAAGAAACAAAAAATGACACAGCTTTAAGTTCAAAGGTTGCTTGCACTGCTTACAGTGTAGAGTCACATGGATCATATAATTAATCTTGTGTCCCTGATTAACAACTGATGGCAGCACGTTAAATTTATTATCTAGAATCGAACAGCTCTAGACTGTGCGGTCACAAATCGGCGGTTTCGCACAGTCCCAGCTTTGTGACTGTAATATATCAAAAATTTCTTTGGTGAAATGAATGGTAACTAATGTTTTTGAGTGAACCAGCAGATGGCGCAGTTCTGCACTTTCCCTCCCTATTTCATGCAGACACACAACGTCCTTCTTATAGATACCTTCACCTGTGAAAACCTCTAAGTAGTATGTAGGGCATAGGAATTTTATTAGCAGGGTGTTCTATGCCAGGGTTAGGTCATCCGAATAATCAGCACTGAATAATAAGCCAGAAAATTTTTTTAGTGTTGGTCAGTATGGTAAGGAAGAGAAAGTCTAAATAAGCCCTAACATGCCTTTGTTTTTATTACCCCACCCTGTTTTCTCTTTTGCATTCTCCTTTACTTTCTTTCACTTTCCACTTCTCTCTTTTTCTTCTCTCTCTCTCCCTCCCTCTCTCTTTAGGTTCCGCTCTAAGTACCACCCTGATGAAGCAGGTAAGCGTAAGGCAGAGGCTCATGCTGCACTGCAGAACCGGCTGAACGTCTTCACGTATCTGATGGAGAACAGCTGGTTTGACGGTGTTTCCATGGATATCGACCGCGCGCCTCAGATCCTGAAGATCCTGGATGCAGGTGAGAGGGGAAAGAGGGACTATGTGGTCCATATGCCGCACATTCATGCTGATTCTCAAATATCAACAATGAAGACCTTTATTTTCAAATACACCATTCATTTCTGGTGCTGGAGGGCTGGTGGTCTTAAGGCCAAAGGACTTAAAGTGGCCAAAAATCGGATAAAGGCCCAGTCCTATTTCTTATTTTTCCTCTACCCCTTGTTTTCGAGTGTTGCCCCTTGGAGCTAGGTTACAAGGGGTAGTGGTTGAGATCTTCCCTCTGAATGGGACCCTCAAATAAAAAGAGCATCACTTCATTAACAGCTACCAGCGCTGCTCTGTAGGCGACCCTGCCAGTCTGCAGTGACAGCAGAGGAGGGTAAAGTTCAGCTCCTCACTGCTGGGCTTTAGTTACATTTAGGGCATCATATGATCTTCAAAGAGGGGGGCAATTATTTATCACCCACCCCTGATTCTTCAGTGATATGAAGCTGAAGTCAGATATTCACCAGATTCTCGTTCATATTTTCCCATTTCACCTTAAATGGAGCAGCAGTTACATTCTGGTGATTCAGGCATAGAACTGATGGACTATTTAAGGTGGAACAGGAAATTTAGCCAGCTAGCTACCAAGACATTAGCATACTATTATTGGCTTTTATGCTTGTTATGAAGAAAAGAACCATAATACATGAAATGTATTGAAATGACATTAAGATAAACATTGTATTATCATTTTTTTTAAACAGAAAATTCTCACATTTGTCCCCTTTTGTCCCTTCGTAACTCTCTGTTTGGAGTCTCTGAAAAACCTCCGTTTGGAGGGTCATGTAGCCCCAACACTTCACCCTCCCCCTTTATCTCAGCAAGAATCGGGGCACCCTACCCCTAGAACAGAGGGAAAGGGCTAAGTGGTAGGGGCGAGGGGTGAAATGGTATCGGGCCTTACTTTGTTTTCACCTTCCTCACGTCTGCCACTTAAAAATAGGCTTATCTGTAGATTCTGTAAATAAAGTTAACTTTAGCATCAGTAAATGGGACACGGCGTGAAACGAAAAGGGAAGATGATGCACATTATTCACACCGCAGAGTGGTGGTAGGTGTGAAACAGGCTTAACCTGCATATTAGTTTTAATTCATATTTTAAAGTATGTAAAAATGAGAGTAACTGAGTTTGCGTGTTGGAGATCACACAGACTAGGCATAAAAATGAAATAAAAGAAAATGTAGAATATTGACCTGCCTAAATATTTATTGATTGATTGATTGATTGTTCTTCAGCGGTGATAAAGATGGAGGGAGGGACTGAGAATGATTTGCGGATTCTGGAACAGCCAGCGGAGGAAGAGGAGGAGAAAGAGAGACTGTCCTCCAGCGGGACGCCGTCCGAGCCCGCAAAACGAGACGAGAACAGACCCGCCGAGGCAGACCGCAAGCCCTCTGCTGAGAAGGACGAAAAAGAGGTGAGTGTTGGGGAGGAGGTATCCATACACCATCATCACCACCTTCGTCTTATTATTATTATTATTATTATTATTATTATTATTATTATTATTATTGCTAGTTTATTTATTGTTACCTTGAACTGTATGCATGCAAGAATCCATTATTTGTGTATGTGCAGGGTGAGAGTGCAGAAGGTGGAGAAAAGGAGGAAGGAGAAGGAGGAGGAGCAGCAGCAGCAGCACCAGCAGAAACAGAAGGAGGAGATAATAATAAAGAGGAGGACAAACCTGAAAAGGAGCCACCAGCTGAGGAGCCACCAGAGCCGAAGAAGGTGAGCGTTAACGTGTAATTTAAAACTCTGCCTTCATCTGTGACCCACTGCAGTGAATAATAATAATAATAATAATAATAATAATAATAAGAATAATAATAATAAACATTATTATTAATAATGATAGACACCTCTTTTCTTTTTCATTTGTCTTTTTTCTCTCCTCTGTTTGTTTTTTTTTCCTTCCAATCTTTTGCTCTTTTTTTTTCCTCTGATTTTCTTTTTCTTTGTCTCCCTTCTTCATTCCTTCTCTCTCTCTCTCATCCAATTTTTTTTCCTCTTTCTCTTCTCTCACTTGCTCTTTTGCTCTCATTTCTTTTGTTCTTTTTCCTGTTTTTTTTTGTTTCCCTTTTTCTATTTACACATTTTTCTCTCATTCTTTGTGTTTTTCTTTTGCTGTTTACACATTCTTCTCTTTTTTTTGTGCGCTCTTTTGATCTCCTTTCTCTCTTTCCCTTTCTCTGTTTACAAATTTTTTTTCTGTTTCATTCTCTCTCTCTGTATAGCTGAGTAAGAAGAGGAAGAGGAAGCACAGTGGGGACAGCGAGGACGAGGCGAGCGCGTCGGAGAGTGAGTCGGACTCTGATTCGGACTCTAACTCCCACACCTCGGAGAAACCTGCGGCGCGAGAGAGGGAGGGAGAGCCGGAAGAGGGCGAGGAGAAGGAGGAAGACGAGGAAGATGGAGAAGGTCAGAGAGAAAGTATTTATGGCCAGGAAATTCAGTCTGGACAGATTTAAAATGCATCTGTTATAAAAACAGAAAGAAGAGCCCAGATCACGGAAAGGTCTCACTGTTACCGTTTCGGAACCTGCTGTTCTCTCCCGAGTCCATATATACAAAATAACCTGTGAAGATGACTCGTTTTGAGTTTATTAAGGTTGTGATGTCACAAACATGAACGGATTTTCCCTTGGCGGCCTGTTGTGTAGGGCAGGGGGATGAAATACAAGTCAAATGTGCAATATCAGATTCATTATTTATCTTTTCCATTGTTATTTATTTATTTATTTATTTTTTTTTTTTAGCTTTAGACTTCTAGTGGAGTTCACTGTTGTCTCCTGTTTGTGTTATGTTTGTAGGTGAGGTGAAGGAGCGACAGGAGGACAAAGAAAGAGACCTGGAAAAGGAAGAGAAGAAAGCGAAAGACGATCAGTCTCCCAGACCGCGCCCCCTCCACAAGACCAGCTCTCTGTTCATGAGGAGCATCGCTCCAACTATCTCTAAAGCAGAGATTGTCGCTGTGAGTAAACCAACACAGACGCAGTACAGTGAAGCCTAGATCGTGGCTCTGCCCACATATTAGATCTGTATCAGAACAATATTGCACTCATACTCATTATTGATCACCAATACTGGCAAAAAGTCTTTTACCACTACACAAAAAAACAAATGTAGTTGCAGAAAAAGAATTCTAATTTTTTAGTCCTGTTTAATTAGCTAAGGTTTTAGATAATTGGGCCAAATTCCATTTCACTCCTCGTCTCTACCACTCAGCCCTACCACTTGCGTTCTCGTCTAGGGGTAGGGTGTCCTGATTCTTGTTGAGATAGAGAGGTAGGGCTCAGCAAGATGGCTGCACAAGAGACCAAAGAAACCCGTTAAGACTGCTGAACTTCACCTCCTCTGCTTTCATTGCAGACTGGCAGGGTCGCCTACAGAGCACCTCTAGTAGCCTGTTAACGAAGTAATGCTCTTTTTTCCATTTGTTGAGGGTCTCATTTTGTAGGGAAGATTTCAACCACGACCCCTTATAACCCAGTACCAAGGGGAAAGATGACACTCAGAAACAAGAGTGACAATACACACACAGGCCGGTAACACAACAATTTTTTTTTGTATCAAAGCCAGATACACTGAAGACGCAATATTTATTTTGGTTATTTTTGTTTTTTTAAGTTTTGCCAAGCAGAAAATCTGTCAATATCAGATAGTAGCATGAACAGCTTCATCTCTTCATTCAGAAGCTGAAACTTTGAGTACGTTCACATGTTGCCAAGATGTTTGTAACCCAGTTTTAGCTATTTAGACTCTTATCCTTTTGACGTTTGTGGAAAAAGTTTTGTTTGGGACACAGTTGCTCAGTCAGCTTGTTTGTTGCCATGCTTTCAGCAGAGATGGCTGTGATTGGTAGATGTGTTTGTGTCACTGGCAAAAGCTTGAATGTCCCATGCTGGCTGAACAATTTGTTTGGTCTGTAAGACAGTCCAAATCAATCGCGCTCGGTGTGTAAAGGCCTTTACAGCTCTGTAATTTACTCTTTGCTTCTTCATCAGCTCTGTCGCCGTTATCCTGGATTCATGCGGGTGTGTTTGTCCGACCCACAACCAGAGCGGAGGTGAAATATATTCACACCCACATATACACACAGTTTTTGTTCATTTACTAATATTATTATAATTTTGTTCTCAATTATTTGTTGGTGCAGTTGCTTAGTTATTGCAGTCATTTTAAATATTTCAATATTTTATTTCCTCCAGGTTTTTCAGGCGCTGCTGGGTGACTTTTGACCGAGCAGTCAACATTAAAGAGATCTGCTGGAACCTGCAGAACATCAGAGTGAGTTCTAGAAGCTTCTTCATAGAGAACAGTGTTCTTACATTTTCATGTCATTTTAGACACCGATTTGATTGATCAGGTTCATAGATATTGGAAAAATCCATAAAAGTGTAATTCTGTTGAAGTTGGCTTCTAAATACTGCACTATTATTATTATTTATTATACAGCACGCAGATCTTAACACTAGCGATGTATTAGTAGTAACACAAGTGAAAGTCTTTAATCTAATACTTTTAGGACATAAATAAAGTATAATGTTGTCTTGTGTAGCTCCGTGACTGTGAGCTGGCTCCGGGTGTGAACCGGGATTTGGCTCGCCGCGTTCGCAACATTAACGGAATCACGCAGCACAAGCAGATTCTACGGAACGACATCAAACTGGCCGCCAAACTGATCCACTCTCTGGACGAGCGAGAGAGTCTGTGGAGCCCCCAGCCGAGCGAGGAGACCCAGCCTGTAGAGGTAAGAGGTATACAGTATTATAAAACATGCACACTCATCATTTAGGGATGTAATAATGCAGTGTATTGTATGATATTGTGGCTGGTGCGGCTCAGTGCACTGTAAAGTAAAGCAGTCTGTATAGTTCAGACTAAACTCGACTGAGCTGTTTTAAAGTCTGTGATATTGTGCATGTATAACATTTGAATACTTTAATAAACAAAGTGTGTTACTGGCATGGTCCTGTTTTTTAACAGTATTGTGTTCCACAGAAGAACTTTCAATAATGTGTTTTACTGCAGATTTTCTATTAATAGTTTATAGTGAAGCACATTTGTTGGTATAAAAAATCTGTCCCATTTATTAGTGTTTTTATTTGTATACATTTGTACACATTTCATGGGTATTTCAGTTTAAGAACCCTTGTAATCGGCTTCTCGTCCGTCATTAAAGGGCCCATATTTTACATTGTTCCTGTATTTTATTGTTAGTTCGATTTCTAATATTTTAATTTTTGTACACCAGAGCCAGTTATAATCCATTATTTTTCAGCTGTATTTTGAACCTCTCTTCACCCCTTAGAATTAAACAGGCTGGTTTTGTTTCTGTGCCTTTTAAGAATGTTCTAGTATCTAAATCAGCTTTGCTCTGATTGGCTGTGGTGAATTTAAAATGGGCTGTTTTTGCAGCTTAGTTTCCATGTGTAGACTGTATGGGACTGGGGAGTCAGTGGAACATCTGTATAATGTCTAAACACTAAATCAAAGTCTTTTTGATGTCAAAGTGCAGAAGTGCATGTTTTTGTTGCTTTGGGCCCTTTAAAGAATTTGTGTTTTGTGTTCAGCTCCCAGCTCAGAACCCTATTCTGAAGAACATCACTGATTACCTCATTGAGGAAGTGAGCGCAGAAGAGGAGGAGCTTCTCGGTAGTGCGGGCGGAGCCGACTCTGAGGAAGGGGCTAAAGAGGGAAACCCTACTGAGATCACTGTGGAGAGGGATGACAAACTGGTCAAGGTAAGACCCACACTGGGTTAGAAGTGACCCCCCTTAATCACTGTTCCCTAATAGCAGTGTTTCCTAATCACTTTTTCTGTTGTGTGTATTAATATTATAGGGAACATAGTGTCCCTAAACACTAATCCGAAATTGAGGCGTTATATAGAATGCTAAGCAATAGTAGTGGCACCTTATCACTGTTCCCTACAACGAAGCACTATATAGAACACTTATATAGGGTATATAGATTTCCCTTAAATCACTATGCCTTACATTGGAGCACTGTATAGAACACTGTTATAGTGATCAGAAAAGCTCTCCTAATCACTGCTTCCTACATTGGAGAGCTATATAGAACCCTAAAGAACAGCAGTGGTCCCTAACCACTATTCTCTGCAGTTGTATGCTGTATAAAACCCTACAGAACACTAATAGCAGGGATTACTGTTCTATGCACTGTAACACTATAAGGAATACTACTACAGGGAACATTTGATCTTTCTTTTAATCACTGTTCCCTTCTTTAAAGCACTATATAGAACACTATTGTAGGGAACTGAGATGTCCCCTTAATCAGTATTATCTACATTGAAGCACTGTATGGAACATTCAGAGTAAATCTATGTTGCCTATAATAATCACTGTTCCTTATATTGGAGTGCTGTATAGAACCCTGTTATAGGGTTTCCCCAAATCCCTCTTCCCTACACTGAAGCACTATTTAGAGCACTAAGGAACAGCAGTGGTCCCTAATCACTATTCTCTGCAGCTGTATGCTGTATAAAACACTATTATAGGGAACAGAAATGTTCCCACAGTCACTGTTCTGTACACTGAAGCACTAAGGGAGAATTCATGTTCCCTATAATAGTGGTCCTTATCACTATTGCCTGCATTGAAATTTTATATAGAACACTGTTGTAGGGAACAGAGATATTAATCACTATTCCCTACCTTGGAGCGCTATGTAGAATGTACTTATTGGGAACCGGAATGGTCATTACAGACTATGATTACAGTGAACATGATATAGTTTTGGTCACAGCCCAAAGCCGTGCACTATATAGTGAGCTGGGCATGGTATGAGACGCATCCCAAAAGAGTGAACTACGTATTAAACAGTGTTTGTAAATATAAAAATAGTAAGATATCAAGAAATTAGACCATTTTGTTGACCCTCACTTACTAAAATGAAAGTTTGCCAGATAAAAGTACAAATACATTTACTTTTGTTTACATTCTGTGGCTTTTCAATTTGATTTTGATGTTTTTGTGATGTGTTTATGTTCATACTTACCAGGTGTTGGATCGTTTGCTGTTCTACCTGCGTATCGTGCACTCTATCGATTACTACAACACCTGCGAGTACCCGAGTGAAGACGAGATGCCAAACCGCTGCGGGATCATCCACGTCCGCGGACCGATCCCACCGAACCGGATCACACACAGAGAGGGTACGGACACGAACGCAAAGTGAATCTTGAGCATATGTCGTTCATCAGTGTTCTTTAAATACTGATGATATTTAATATGATATGATGATATAAAATATCATCATATTGCCCAGCCCTGCTTTCAACTAAAAAAACATTCAGATGATTGTGGTCCTGTGGTCTGAAAATGTCCACTGTCTGAATGTAATGGACAGTAATAGTGCTATATTTGAGTTTGTGTGCCTTGTTCAGTGGAAATTGTATTATTATTTTGTTGTGGTTCTAAAAAGGCATTAAAAAGCCCTGAATTAGATTGAACTGTACTGACCTGCTGTTTTGCTGTTGCTCAGTGGCGGACTGGGAGAAGACGTTTGAGGAGAAGCTGGTGCCCCTGTTCAGCGTGAAGGAGTCTCTGTCGGAGGAGGAAGCGGTGAAGATGGGCAGGAAGGATCCGGAGCAGGAGGTGGAGAAGTTCGTGTCTGCGAACACGCAGGAGCTGGGAAAAGACAAGTGGCTGTGTCCACTCAGCGGGAAGAAGTTTAAGGTAGGGCTGCGTCTGTAGAGGCTTTAATAAAGTATGAACAAGTATGACCACTGACTGTGGCTGAATCTCAAATGGATCCCTACTGCTTACAAAGTGCTCTGTGAAGGTCTAACCATGGCTTATACACCCAAATAGAGTTCTAAATGTTGGTCAAGCAGCTGAAATGGCTTTCTCTTCAACACATGGAGCACCGTTTAGGCATAAAGGCCTTTATTTTATGATGTACATAGTGCACTGCATAGGGAATAGGGAGCCATTTAAGATTCTGTCTCCCTCAGCAACAGTCAGAAGGGCTCTGCACCCACATTTCTGGGTTTGAGATGCTTTACAACACTGTCTGTCTGTTTTACATGCAAAGATTTTTACCAGTCTGATTAATACATTCTGATTATAGATGAAGACAGAGGTATTTATATGCTCACTCAACAATCTGATGGAAAATCTCAGTTTACATTCATGCTACAAATAATCAGAGAGCTGCTTAGTGTAGACGTTACCATGACAATGTCGGGACCACGGGAAAGCCCCCGAACGGGCATACTATGGCCTAATGTGTCCTATATTGTCTCTTAGTGAGACATTACTATTCCCTTTTAGCCAATGCTGAACTATTTGATTATTTATTAGATGTCTAATCTATCTGTTTACTTATTGATTAAGGGTGTATTTATTAAAAATTTGCCATCAACAGTGAGCATTACATGAGTGCAGTCAGCATGAGTTACCTGAGTTTTCAGCTGGCGCGTGTGGGGTTTTTTAATTTCTTTAAAATGATGTCAGACTCAGGAAAACGTCCTTCACATGTCCTTATTAAAGAAGGCCGAGAGGAAGACGTCGTGTTCTGAGACACATAAGCTGGACGTCCGTCCCACCGCCGTCTTTTAAAGATCAGAGCATAAACTTCGTCTCCTCTGCAGACCAGTTTCTGCTCCGCCATGCTGAACGGTATAAACTCTCACTATGACGCGACGAACATGATCAGAACGGACTTAAACTTTCCGATAGGGAATGTAATCAGATACAGGCGTTTACACTGATATTATTCTTCTATTTAACGGATTATTTACAGGATTACCCACCTCGATCAATCAGACAGAAACTGTATTCTGAATGGCCTCAATAGGACTAGTGTAGCTGAATAAATGGACGTATTCTATTCTGATTTAGCTATTAGTCGGATTATTAACAGATTAGGTTGGGTGTAAACATGGTTAGTGTCTGCATAAACAAAAAGCAGCACTACAGTTAAAGTGTGTGTTTGAGAGAAAATGTCACAAATTGGTGAAAGCTGATCTTATCTCTCAAACACTCAGATGCTTTCATTTCGTGGCTTTGTCCTCTTTCTGTAAGAGTCCTTAAATTACAAGTTTGTCTGTTTTTATTTGTGCCTCATGTCGCTGTTTTGTGTCTCCTCAGGGTCCAGAGTTTGTGAGGAAGCACATTCTGAACAAGCATGGAGATAAGATCGAGGAGGTGAAGAAGGAAGTGGAGTTCTTTAATAATTTCCTGATGGATGCTAAAAGACCCTCCCTTCCTGAGATGAAGCCGCCGCCCCCTCCCGGCCCAGGACAAGGTGAACAAGCTTTAAATGGGACTTAAAATTGCTTTTTTATTCACTGATTCACGTACCAGGAAAGAGCAGTAGCTGTAGTACTGATCAGAGCTCCCAGTCTGATTTGATTGTTTTTAGTGAACATATTGAGTCTCAAATTTAATCAGAATTCAATTTGATTATTTCTTAAAAATCTGTTAGTCTGGTGAATAAAGATAGTATAATTAATTTCTCCATTTTGTTTCTCTCTCTCTCTATGTAGGGTTACTGTCTCCTGGTGGTCCCCCGTTCCCCCCTCAGGGTCCTCAGGGTCTGCTGGGCTTTGGTCAGCCCAGACCACCACTTTTGGGTTATGGAGGTAAGTCTTTATTTACTTATTTGGCTGAACTGAATGTGGGAGTAGTGTATTTTTTTTTACCTTTATTTCTTTCTTTCTGAAGCTGTAGCTTTAAATCAAGTTGTCTTTATGGATTAGGGGTTGGATGAAGATCTGATCATATGTTAGGAACTGTTCATAGAAAAATCTAGATGTTCCTTTAGGGAGTTATTATTTATTAATGTTATTTGTTTCAAAGCTGTTTTGTTCTCTCCATCCCAATTCTAGGTGGTCCTCCTTATCCTCCTAACCAGTATGGAGGAGGCAGAGGCAACTATGACAACTTCCGTGGACAAGGGGGCTACCCTGGAAAACCCAGAAACAACCGGTAATGCTTTTTAAGGGTCAAGCTGTCAGGATACGATACGGAAACTTTGAATATGGGCCAGTATTTTTCATTCAGAAAGTACTAATCAGTATTGGGTCCATATTAGTAGAAAACATACCACATTTAGCCACATGTTAACTGGTACTGTATCAGTGCCATCTCTGAATAACAATAATAACAGTAATAACAATAATAATAGCCCTTTGAAAAAAAAGACACATTTACCCATTTCCGTTCCATTCAACCCAAATGTAGTAGTCAGTAGCTAACAAGCAATTTACTATTATTATTATTATTATTATTATTATTATTATTAGTAACCTTAAAGCAAAAAACATAGACATTTGCTTTTTCACTGAACTCTTTTTGAGTTTAACTCTTTATTCTAATTTTCTCTCAGGATGATACGTGGGGACCCTCGCAACATCATCGAGTACCGGGATCTAGACGCCCCCGACGATGTGGATTTCTTTTAGAAGACCCCTTTTACCGTCTCGTTTTATTGCCTCGCTCTCATTTTAACCATAATTTTGTTATTTCTTTAATGATTCATTCCTAGATTTTGTTTGTGTAAACATTCTCACTCTCCCACCCCCCTCGCTGCCCCCCTCGCTGTTCATCTGGATCATTTGTCATCAGCTGAGCAGCTCTGTTTTTTACGTTTTCCCCCAGAGGAGGAGTTGCACAGTATTACAGAGCAGAACTTTACCTTTAGCTCTTATTTTGTTCTCCAATAAACCATGATGTCAAACACCTCAGCTCAGCCTGGCTGTCTTTTCATTTTTAAGCATCTGGTTTTTCTTGCATTTCCAGCTTTTATGCGTTTTCTCTGAGTCAAACTGTTTCACAGTACTGTGTGTGTGATCGCGCGCGCGATTTAGGAAAAGTATATTTAATGAGCGGTTTATTATTTGTAAATATTACAATAAATACAAATACATAATACTAAAAGTAGTGTTGAACCATTTCCTGCCCAGTATTGTGTGTTTATCACTCAATACCTGCTTTATCTAGTAAAGACTTCCTTAAATCTGGCAAGATATCAACTACTTTTTTAAAAATTTGCTTCATCCTGTTATTTTCTGCAGAAAGGCCATCAGACAGGTCAGTATTCTTATTCCATTTTCTCAGTTTACTCTCAAAAACAGACTTTTTAAAATTTTTTTAGAAGAAACTCTTTGGTTCTATTTGTATGGGTGTATTATTTATATGTTTTATACGTGTGTGTGTGTGTGGATGGATGGATGTATACGTGTGTGTATGTTACACTTTTATTAGTGTAAATACTGATATTTGGTGGTTCGGAGACTAAAAGGGGGGATGTTGCTGTTGGTCTACAGATGCTGACTTAATCTCACTTCCTTGTTTTTATGCAGAGAGATTTGCAGTGATTGAATTTCTCTCTGTTCATGGTTCAAAGTGCTGTTCCTCTAATAAATCTTGTCTCAAATTTAAAATGCGTACGTGTGGAAATTTAAAATGTGAGGTGATCTGTTTTAACTACTTGAAGTTGTATAAAATTAATATCTTTTATGTGCTGTATTTTTTCTGAACATTAGATTTGATCAAGCCTAGCCTCTGAAATATCTTAATTATAAATTTTGACAATTTAAATTTTTTTGTATATGATATATTTCACTTTATGTTTTTAGGATTTCAGTATGTCGGTATTTTGGTGCGTAATATGCGGTCACACGAAGCGGTAAATGATGTCGAGTCATTTCAGAGAAGAGCTCTGATCAGCTGAGTCATCTCAGTAACACTGAAATACAGAGTGAAAACTTTTACTGAACTTATTCAGTTTTACTTGCTTTTATTGATGTTTGTTTATTTATATTCTTAATGGCTGTAACACACAAAGCTGCTCACCACAGCTGAGCTGGACATGATGATCCAGTCTAAAAGAGGGACTTTATATCTGCTGGTTTCCCTCATCTTCACATTTAAGGCCCTGAATGCAAACAGCAACATCTGGGGGTGTCGAAAACTTCTACCACAGACTTATTAATCAGTTATTCCTCTTATTTAATAACTACGATGTAGCCAGTAACCATGAATTATTGCATTTCTACTACAACTTTTTATAACTGTAATAAAGTATTCATTTACATTTACATTTACATCATTTAGCAGACGCTCTTATCCAGAGCGACTTACAAAAAGTGCTTTGTCTATCCAGAGAAAGAATCTTCGCTAGCTACCGATAGGTTAGAGAGAAAGTCAGTCCTAAGCTCAGATACTGGTAGAATCAGAAGGTCATTGACACCTAGTGAAAAAGGGACAGAGTTAAACACAGAACAGTGCAATACGATAAAATACATAAGTGCTGTACAATACATTACAATCAATACTTAATTTAGTGCTCATTTAAGTGCTGAATAAACAGGTGTGTCTTCAGTCTGCGTTTGAAGATAGCGAGAGACTCTGCTGTACGGACAGCCAGTGGGAGTTCGTTCCACCACCTGGGCTCCAGCACAGAGAACAGTCTAGTTGCTTGCCTTCCACGCGCCTTGAAGGATGGCGGGTCAAGCCGAGCTGTACTCGAAGCTCGAAGGGCTCGTGGTGCAGTTCGAGATTTGACCATTGCCATCAAGTAGGGAGGGGCTGGTCCGTTTTTGGCCTTGTAGGCAAGCATAAGGGTTTTAAATCTGATGCGTGCAGCTACAGGAAGCCAGTGAAGGGAGCGCAGCAGTGGGGTGACGTGGCTGAACTTTGGGAGATTGAAGATGAGTCTTGCTGCTGCATTCTGGATGAGTTGCAGAGGCCTGATGGCCTGCATCGGAAGACCAGCCAAGAGCGAGTTGCAGTAGTCAAGCCTTGAGATGACAAAAGACTGCACTAGCACCTGAGTGGCCTCTCTCGAGAGAAACAGTTTCTATTACGAGTTATGTAGTGATAATGTTACATTATCACTCATTAGGCCTAAATCAACTGAATTGAACGACCAGTTCGTTTATTTGGCAGGAAGTGTTTATTTACTTTGGAAAAAAAAATCCTAAGTACAAATGACGTTAATGTAATCACTAGTGATTTTTGTATACGTCGCTGTGTGTTTAACCGTTTCCTGCCGTCTCCCTGCAAAAGCCTGGTATAATTAGTGTATATCATATAATATCTGCTTCATCTAATCAATACTTTGTTAAATCAGGAGCTGCTGTTCATCTGGATTATTTGTCATCAGCTGAGCAGCTCTTTGTTTTTTACGTTTTCCCCCAGAGGAGGAGTTGCACAGTATTACAGAGCAGAACTTTACCTTTAGCTCTTATTTTGTTCTCCATTAAACCATGATGTCAAACACCTCAGCTCAGCCTGGCTGTCTTTTCATTTTTAAGCATCTGGTTTTTCTTGCATTTCCAGCTTTTATGCGTTTTTTTGAGTGAGTCAAACTGTTTCACAGTACATATATATGATATAATATTGTTTTATAATATATAAAACAATATGTTTCATAATATATGGTGGTTCGGGGAATGAAAGAGGGGAAGCTGTTTAGAAATGCTGACTTAACAATCTCAGTTCCTTATTTTTATGCGGACAGATTTTCAGTGATGTAACATCTGTGTTGGTGGTCGTTCTGCAGAAATGGTTCAAAGTGCTGTGCCTCCCTAATGAATCTTTGCCTAAAATTTTTAAAAGTTATGTAAGTAGGAAATGTAAAATGTGACCTAACCGGTTTCAAATATTTGACGCATATGAAATTAAAGGTTCATATGCAGTTTTCTGCTGAACACTGCCACATCACTGTGTGTATAAATGCCTGTTTACATCAAAATTTAGAAAAATGATTTGCTATAAAGTCCTTGTTCCAAGCGCTGGGCATGTATGATACAGGTGCTTAAACGCCCTTCAGCGCTTTCCATGAATAGAGTTTGTTTTGGGCCTTGAAACTGTTTAAATGTTTACTTTTCCTTTGGCTTTTTTGACAAAGTGTTAATCAAAGTAGAGCTTCACATTCAGACAATTAGATTTTCCCCCCTCAGGCTGTCAAATTAGAGACTAAATGTTTAGCCAGCTTTTGTTTGTCTGTATGTTCGGCATGTTTTGCAACCCTGATACCAGTTTTAGCAAAGTGAACGGCATTTAAAGCGTGTGTATATTTAATTCATTATTTTCTAGCAGGAAATACGGATATTTATGAAATTCCTTTTAGAACTTCTCAAATAAATAATATAAATCCATTTTTTTTCTTGTTTTATTATCTGTATTTATATATATATATATTATTTTAAAGCCTTTAGAGTTTTTTTCTCTCTAAGCACAGAACAGCGCAATTTTTCTTGTATTAGTCATTTTAAGTAAATGACTCTCATGACCAAATTCATGTTTCTGGTAACAAAACCAACTAAATCATACATTTTTAGACTGTTTTCACCAAAAATTGCAGAATAGCAGTGATGAACACAGAGATCGTATTCCCTATTAATCTGATATTAACGCAGTAAAAACATTTAAAGTGTAAAGAACAGCAGAAGGGAAAGTTGAAAAATCGTTCTAATCACAATGTTTTCATTAAAATCTTTCTTTCAAGGCATTTGCTTTGATTTAAAAATAATTGAAGGTTAAAAATAAAAACATGTCCTAAAATTAGCTGCTTGGGTGCTAACTATTAATAACCACATAGTATATATTAATTTAAAAAAATGTATATATGTGTGTATTATTTATTGTAACAAGAAAATAGCAAATTTCTGTTTAAGTTGTTATTGTTGTCTGTTTTTCTACCAGGGAACAGGTTTGGGTTGCACTTAAAATGTTGGACACAGGTTTAATAATAAACTTTAAGTAAAAACAACAAAGGAGGAAGAGAAAAAGATCATTAAGAATGGTATAAACAAATAATGAACAGCAGAAAAGGGGATGTATTAATAATCACAATTAAAATGCACAAGATAGAAGTATAAAAACATTAAAATTGCAATAAAAATGCAACTAGTATTATTCCCGTAAAAACAAAGGAAACAATAAACTCTTTAATACTTCAGTACAAATAATGAAAATTAGCATTTAATGATCATAAAAACAAATCAAATATCTGAGCTTTAATGCAGTTATTTTGGGCTGTCCCACCACCCAAATGAATTTTTGTTAAACTTGGTAAATTATTTGGAAAAATGAATTATTTTAACAAAAATTGCTTGTAAATGAGTCAAATAAAGCTGTAATGCTGGTGTAAGTGGACAGTTTTAATGAATATATTTAATAGAGGAGGTCAGTGTCGGTGATTTGGGACATTTAAAAAAATGAACATATTAAAGGTCAGACATTTATGTGTCTTTAAGATCATTTAAAAGCTAATTTTCATTATTTTTTACGAAATAAAAAAAAACAACAGTAACTTCAGTGCTTTTAAAAAGGTGATGGAACATAAACTGAACCCGGTTCATGGAAAGTGCTCTTCATTCACCGGTAGCCAAAGCACCTTTGCAATAACACTGGACCTCATTCTGCAATATCTGCCCATGTTTGTTCTTAACTGTGTTCCTGATAAAGATCCTGAGAAAAAGGCTCTGTCATATTTGTGACGTGTTCTCAAAGTACAGAACTGTTCTCACCTAAGAACAAATCCCAGAAAGAGAACATTGCTGAGACAGAGTCTTCCTCAAACTGCGGAAGTAGGTTTATAGAAGAACGTTCTTTCTAAGAACGGTTGGTGAATGAGGCCCAGTGCAATTCAGTGAATGTGTCCTCTTACTCAACAGCCACTTCTTCAAATAGGAGAATTGAAGCGCTTCCCATTTCTTTCTCATGAACAGCAGCAGGCATCATCCAGATACAAAACCGGGCAGGTTAGCTTCACCCCACACTTCCAGAACATGATGGAGAACCACTACAGCAGTATGGACGTGGACGAAGAACACAGGGGATCGCCTAAAGGTTTGAGATTCAGCTTAATTTTTAATTCTAAATAAATACATTAAGTTATTATGTGTGGCTTTGGGCCTTTATGTTTGTAAGAAATACACTCTTTAAAAAGATGGTTCTTCAAGCGTTCTCTAGTGAAGGCAATGGTTCTATAAAGAATCATTTGCAGCAAATGATTCTTTGCATGGTGTATAAGGTTCTATATAGCACCAGAACGGTTCTTCTGTTATTACAAGCTTGACATCATAACAGTAAAAGAACCCTTTTTGTTGCGATTTAGAATCATACACAACACTTTCTCAATCGATCATCAATCTGAAGAACAGTTTCACCATGCAAAGAATCATTTGCTGTGAATGGTGAAGTATTCATGGCTCTATATGGAACCATTATCTTTACTAAAGAACCCTTGAAGAGATTATATATATCGGAACAAAACCTTGTATCTCCAAAATGGTAACTTTACAGGAGAAGGAAAAAACACACTTTACTTTTAATGTAAGTCAATGGAACCAGAGTTTATTCCCAAGTCATTCTGAGTCATTTCTTTGGTCCATTCATCATGAAATTTACACACAATATAAAGGAGTACAGCCTTTTTCACATTATGTCAAAAACTGAAAAATGTCAGAAATGGAGAGACGAGCTGAGCTGTTAAGTCTGTTAACAAGCCGATAACATAAAAAGGAGTTTAGTGTTTTTACGAGCCAGAATTGCATGTATTAACTTTTGTTTCTCTCTTGTGCAGCTTTTAACCACAGGAAACTGAGTTTCATCCTGTTGGTGTCTGGGGCTTTGGTCATCTTTATCCTATTTGTTATGATTTTCGTCGTATGTAAGTGTTCAACTTTCTTTTAAGACGTTTGTTTTGAATTTTCAATTTTGTGTTGAATTAAATATCAGCATTTAACAAACCGAACCTGAAACTCCAAAAACCTAAATCTTCTGAAAAGCCTCATTTTTAAACATCAAGGTTTATTCATGCTACACTTTTTACTTCCATATTTTCCAGATGGCTATCAGGAGAGGAGATTTGCGGAGTTGGAGCGCTCCATGATTTCTCACCATTCTTCAGTTAACTCGATGAATTCTGATCTGAAAGGCAAACTGAAAGACACAGGTGAGCGTCCGGGGGTCTTTCTCACATGTGCAAAGTTTCATGTTTTGTTGATGTTCTTAGTCAAATCAGAGACACACTTCTGCAGATTTTAATGCACCGTTCCTGTTAATTTAAAAACATATAAAATAGAGGCTGTGCAAAAATTCTGGCACATTTTGTATTTTATTTTTTCCAATAAGTTGAACGCAAATAAATAGAATCGTGCACTATAATTTGAATAAAAATGTCATATTTAAGTTTGTTCTATGTAGAGGATGTGTTCACTTATCTAAGAGTCCAGAAAATGCTTTCCTTTGAAATGATATTCTTGAGTGAGTCATGCTGCTGCTGCTTCTGCTTAACTCAGCTTGTTTCCAAAGACTGCGTGTCATAATACTTCTCTGATTCTTTTGTCTTGGCATCACTTATCTTGGTAAATATGTTCCTCAGATACATAAATCCAATAACATTTTGATTCATTGCCTTGATGAAGTTCACCAGTCTGAATTTATAACATAAAAAATGCCCCCAAACCAAAGGCAGACTTTTATATTACTATGTATTACTGCTATTTACATATCAGTGTTACCAAACTAAGCAAGTTCCCTCAAACAGTTTGACTCTTAAATTGAACTACTGTAGGCTGCAGTGATTTGAGTTTTTAATTTACTACTTTATTTTTTATCAACTTTTTATTGTATTTTATGACAGGGGTGGGGAAAGGTAGGTGTGGGGAAAGGTGGTGGTGGTGGGGAAGAACGGTGAAGGACAGTGACCTACAATGTTAGGTGTACACACAGATCAAAGAAATGACAAAGACACTAAAAAAATACAGCCCGGCAAAGAACACTGCATAATCTAATTGAAAACCAGACTTCTTGAATAGAGTCATATAAATTCTCCCATTAACTAATTGTTGATTGCTTTGCTTTGTGAAGCTGGGCTGTAAGATGTTCCTTTCAAACTATATTTTGAAAACTAGATATCCAGAATTTTATAGCTCAAAACTGTGGGACAATCCAAAGTTATGTGGTTTTTGGTAGGTATAAAACCCGCCATTAGCAATTTAGTAAATATTAAATGTCAAATGTAAATTTCAATTGAGTTTATTTAATAAATTTGGTAAAGTTAAATGTCTCTAGAGACCCTAACAGCTAACAACGTGTGCTACAAAGCGGACAATCATCTTCCAGTTGTGTTTGCTAATTGAGGGCTGCCTCTGGGCTGTGTTGTCTAAAACAGCCGTGCTGAACTGGATGTCTGGGAGGAGACTGTAACGTTGTTAAGGGGTTGGTGAGTCTACCTGCCATCACAAGCCCACCATCTTAGCATCCTCCAAGGCAGTGATTAGAGGGTCATCACCAGAGGACATCTGTATTCTGTGCTCTTGCCTAATCTGACCTTAACAAAGTTCTGCAGTGACAAAATTCTGAGTGATGCATGTACTTCTGTCTTTGGCCTTTGCCATCCACTGTAGGAGACCACACTTTCTACAATGAAAGACCTGTAGGTTAAGTAGAACTTCAGCTCTTCTACAGTTATCTTGATGACCAAAGCTTCTTGTTCCAGTGCTGTTTGGTGGGGGTCAGCTTACAGCTAAACTAGATACCCGGATGCGCCTTGGCCAGTCTTGGAGGCATCCATCTGGACCATGATGGAGTATGGATTATGCAGCACAGGTTCAGCTGTGAGCAGACCCACCTCACAGTAGCTCTTAATGATGTCAAGCTTGGAGACAAACCAGATGTTCCTAAGATGGTCGATAAGATCATCGACTCTGGGGAGAGGGGACGATTTGAAAACTGAGACTTTGTTCAAATGCTGGGAGTTGTTGCAAAAACTCCGAAAGCCATAAGCCTTCTTGGAGATGTAAAACAGGATGCTGTCCTCCATACTGGATGGACCAGGGAACTCCTTGGGTTGTTCCAGATGGGTTCACCCCTTCTTTCAAAAGGAGAAACTCCAGTGGGTGCATGGGGCACCACCTGAATCACAAACAGCACACATGGGAGCAGAAGGTGTGACCTTCCTTGGTGACCACAAGCCTTAACCTCCCATTGAGGGTATGGATGAAAGTCTACCTGCCCCAAGGCCATTGGTTTGAGGGTGATACACAAATGTATGGAACTGTTTCACCTGTAACAGCCAGCAGAGGTCAACCATGAGCCAGAGGATAACGGGAGGTCCCTTGTCTGTTAGCAGGTCCTTTGGAATTCCTGCCTGGCTGAGGAGAAGTGACAGTTGCCAGGCTATGGCCTTGGAGGTGGCCTTTCTGGGTTAGAAGGTCTCTGGATATTCTGAGGCATAATCCACTTGAGAATTGATTCATGCCCTTTGTCACATTTTGGTAGCAACCCCTCAATATCCATCCCTAGCAACTCTAGGGTTCCCTCGTAATGGGAAGGGGGGAGAAACAAAGTGTACAGTTACAGGTGGGGCAACTTTGATACAACTTCTGAACCTTGGCTTCTATAGAGGGTCTGTGGAAACAGTCCCTGATTTTTGCCAGCCTGATTTTCTTAGCCCAGATGTCCCCCTAATTAATGGTGGTGCGCTATTTATGACATCGATTCAGGGGCAGGAAAACACCAGCTGCTGAGCCATATAAAAAAGGCTGTTCTTTCTGGTAATGAAATACTCAGCTAGGAGTCACTGAAGAACCGCATCAATCACTTGAACTTCCTCCCAGACCGAGTGGAATCAGCAGGTCACCGTTTCTGCTGATTGAGGTCCGTCCCTGAGCCACTGTCTAAAACAGCGGGGTTGAATCTGATGTTTTTAGGGGGTTCAGCACCACAAACAGCAACATGGCTTTTGTATTTGGATTGCTTTGGATGTTTTTAAGGGATGATGGGTCAGCCGGCCATCACATATCGTAATTGATGTTTGTTGTAGGTACCGAATTGGAAACAATGGTCTCAGAACTGAAGAAGTCTGTGTCAGGTCTCAGCTCCTATGTGGACCTGTACACTTCCAGAATGCACGACCAACTCAACACTGGTGAGATTATTTTATGTGTCTTCTTCCAATTCAGAGCACTAAGGGGAAATATAATAAATTAATAATATTCCTAATTCCTATTTTGATGAATTTTAATTCTGAAAATAACTTACCCTTTCCTGAATCAGTTATTTAAAATCATTCAGATTTTTAAGAATTTTTTTTCCCCTCAAAACTTGTTTCTAAGCATCCCTATCCTTTCGCTTGTCCTGCTCCCTTTCCCAACCTGTCCCACATTCTGTCCCACCCCGTACTACCTCTTGTCACACCCTGTCTTACCTCCTGAACGACTCCATCCTACCTCTTGTCACACCCTGTCTTACCTCCTGAACGACTCCATCCCACCTCTTGTCACACCCTGTCTTACCTCCTGAACGACTCCATCCCACCTCTTGTCCCACCCTGTCTTACCTCCTGTCCCAAATTTTGTCCCACCCTGTCCTATTTTATTCTACCTCCTGTGTCATGTCTGATCCTATTCTGTCCCTTCTCCCATCTCATCTCCTTTCCTACCTTCTGTCCCACATCCTGTCCTACACTATCCCACCCTGTCCCACCTTCTGTCCCACATCCTGTCCTACACCATCTCTCTCTGTCCCACCTCATGTTCTGCTGGTTCCCAACCTGTCCCACCTCATCCCATCCTACCTCCTGTCTCATGTCTCCTCTTACTCTGTCCCACCTCCTGACCCACACTGTCTTACCTCCTGTCCCACCCTGTCTTGCCCCCTGTCCCATATTCTGTCGCACTCTGTCCTATTTTATTCTACCTCCTGTATCATGTTTGATCCTACTCTGTCCCCTCTCCTGTCTTATCTCCTTTCCTATCTTCTGTCCCTCCCTGTCCCATCTTCTGTCTCACATTCCATCCTTCACATCCCACCAGGTCCCCCATCTGTCTCTGTCCTACCTCATGTTCTGCTTGTTCCACCCTCTCCTACTTTCTGTTCCTCCTCATCCCATCCTACCTCCTGTCCCTTGTCTCCTCCCACTCTGTCCCAACTCCAGACCCACTCTGTCCCACCTCCTGTCCCACCCTGTTCGCATTCTGTCCCATTCCATCCCATCCTGTCTCACCATTTCTCATTTCATGCCTCACCTTCTGTCCCACATTACCCTATTCCTACCCTATTCCACTCTGTCCCACTTCTTGTTCTGTCTCACCCTGTCCCTGCTTTTGTCCCTATCTGTCTCAACCTGTCATTCTTCATTCCACCTTGTCCCACCTCTTGTTCCACCCACTCCCACCTGCTGTACCACAACATTACCCACCCCTTGTTTGACCCCGTCCTACCTGCTGCCCTTTTCTGTCCCACCTCCTGTTCTACTCTGTTCCACCTCCTGTCTTACTCATTCTCACCCTGTCCCAACTTGTCGTATTTCCTGTCACATCCCATTTTTATCTGTTCATCAAAACTTCAGACAGACTTTGCTTAAGTTTGGATCAATAAATCAGACACAGCTTCTGTTACCATTAGTCATTTTTGATTGAAAGTGTCAGGAAACAATATTATGTTAATGGTTAATAACTGAATTTATGATAATATTAAACAAAAACATTAAAACATCTAATTTGCCAAAAGAAGTCTCAAAATGACCTGTTTACATATTGCACACCATGCATGAAAGGGTTATTTAATAATATTAAATTCAGAAATTAAATTGAACTATGATTTTAATTTGTACTCTGTGGGCGACTGCTGTTACCTTCAGGACCCCAGGTGAATAAGTTATCTGAAATTCAGATCTTAATGAACAAGCTGAATTCCTCACTCGGTTCCCTTTCCTCAAAAATGGAGACCAAACTGCAGGACGCAGGTGAGACTCAGGCCTTCGCTAGAGTATAGTGAAATATGAAGAATATTAATCAATGCACTGAGTACAGAATGTTTTAGTTTTTAAATTTATTTGCAAAACACATTTGTAGCAAATCTTTGTAGAGCTGTAAGAATGAACTAATCAGCTGCAGTGATTTTAGATTGTTATTATCAGTTGTAATTGCTAATTTAAATAAAAATCTCTGGCTATCTAGAAGAAAACTTAGTGTATTGCTTTTATTGTGTATTGTCAACTGTTATGTATACAGCTTATCCATTTACATTTGTGTATTCAGTATATTTTTAAAATACAAATTTGAGATTTCGTTATGCACTGAAGTATTTCCTTACAGTTCAGAGATGAACAGTCTTTTTTGGTAGAATTAGATTTCAGTGTCCTACTAAATAAACTCTTGCTTTCTTTAAATAAAAGTATTGTTAGTAAATCTTATTCCCTGTGATGTTTTCAGCCACTCAGCAGAACGGCCAGCACACAGAGCTGAAGAGATTCCTCGACCATTTAAATTCTTCTGTATCAGAACTGACAGCCAAACTACAGGATACTGGTAAACAATGCTGAGGAAAAACAAAACAAATACATTAAATAGCTCTAATATAGGAGTTAAATAGCTGTTATTTACAACATATATATGTGATCTTGGGCTCAAAATTTTTGCTTGTGTTGCCCATCCTCTACTACTTCATCAGGGATCAGTTCCTGACCACAGAGCTGCTCTTGGCCTGCAGCAGTGACACTGATGAGTGTAAAAACTTCAGCAGCACCACTGTTAACCTGCACTCTTTTTAATATGTATTTATTATCTTCCTCCTCCTCAGATCAGAAAGTGATGGCTGCTTTCAGTGAAATGAAGGATAAACTGGAGAGCAGCAGTAAAACAGCAGGTATGAAGATATAATGTTCATATGATCCACACAGTCATTCTGACAGATTGTAATACACTACAGGAAGTGTAGGGGGCGATATGGCTTCTACTGTTTCATTTAAAAAGCTCTATAATGTTCATATGATCCACACAGTCACTCTGACAGACTGTAATACACTACAGGAAGTGTAGGGGGCGATATGGCTTCTACTGTTTCATTTAAAAAGCTCTATAATGTTCATATGATCCACACAGTCACTCTGACAGACCATAATGATATATGGCTTCTGTTGTTCTGTTGTAAAGATAATTATTGGGTGCAGCTCTGTAATTCATAGTGGATTATGAATGTCTTATAACAACTGAATAATAAGTCTGTAAGATTTATTGACCTTGTCGGTTCTGATCAACTTGTTGAATCAATTTTATTTTCAGGTCTTGTCCAAGAATCTCAGAACAGGACGCTGATTGAGGTGGTGAAATTGTCTTCTTCTGTAGAGTCTCTGTCTTCTAAGCTGCAGAGCACAGGTGAGGAAATATATTCACAAGTTTTTATTATTATTATATTACAAATATACATACAGTGGGATCTAAAAGTCTGAGAACAGTAGTGAAAATGCTTCTATTTTGCATTTCTTTCTAATTTAATAAAAGGTTGTTCAGTACACATTATATTATCAGCATAACAGTTCAACTGAAAATTAGGACCTTACCAAATGTAAACATGAATTTCAGAATTTCTTAGTCTTCGGTGGAGTGTCCCTCTTTTGCTTTAATGACTCTTGAACTCCACAAGTTTGTCTAAAAGCCTCTGACATTTTAATATTTCAGCTACTGTCAGGTACAAGTTCATATTTAGAGTGCAGGTTTGACAGCTTCTCCTGCTTTTATTATGGGTTAATAACAGTTTATGATTGATCAATGTGATTATAGTGGAGTTCTGATTTTATTCTCCTCCTCAGATCAGAGAGTGATGGACGCTCTGAATGAAATGAAGGCTAAACCGGAGAACAGCAGTAAACCAGCAGGTAAGAATATCACATATGGAGTTCATTTTAAGTTTAATGTTAACTTTACACTGAGAGCAGCTCTGACATTACAACTTTGTGAACTGCAAATCCATAATCAATTTCATAAATCTGGTTAGCAAGTTATGGAGCAATAAATCAAAACTGGTAGAACAGAGTAGATAAAAAGGTCTCCGTTGTGCATCTGAAACCTGCATACAAAACACTGTGATCTCTCAGTGAGGGGAACGATAGCCTATAGATGACACTGGTACTTATTTATCAAAGCTACATACAGTCAAATCTGACCGTAAAACGAGCCCATGCACATTTCTGTTCTTCATCAGTTTCATCTTGGGTGTATCTGTGTGGTCTATCAATTATCTACATCATCTATAAAAAACGAATAATAGAGTAAAGCTAGAAAATAACAATAATACTAATAATTTATGCGCATAGCAATCCAGTGCAAAAGTAGATGTACTTATTTTACATGCACACTGTATTCCATGTTCCATTTGAAGACATATTACACTGTGCTTTTGTTTTTAACTACAAAATAAACAATACAAAACACAGCTAGAGTAGAAGCATCTCATATGCAGCAATAATACAGTATTAATGGACGTTTTGTTTATTTTACATTATAAATTTTGGCCAGTAGGGGGAGTAGTGCGCTCACGAGTCGCTGAATGCTTTGGTTTCATTGTTTCACTGCAATATCTGCATGAATTGAGGCGTGCTTCATTTTAATGATATGTAAATGAGGTGCTGGCAGGCTGGCGCTTGATTTCACGCACTAAAGCCGATTAATCATTTATGTTCAAATCTTCACATCATATGAGACTTTCACGAATCAGGTGCTAAGCAGGGTATATGTCGTTGAAAACGGTCAAACCTGCGCTCTTTTATAGCCACTGTGATGAATAAGAGCTAGTGTGAGAAGCTTTAGGCAAAATGGAAGAGTGTCATTGTTACTGTACTGCAGGGAAGGTAAACTGTATGGTTATGTGCATTTAAGAATTTAGTCTTTATGTCCCCTTTGGTCTTGTTAAATACTTTTTAAATGTTTTAGCTAAGATAGCAAGCCAACAGTGATTACTCTGTTAGTGTTCTCTACATCGTATATATATATATATATATATATATATATATATATATATATATATATATATATATATATATATATATATATGAGCCTCACTGCTCACCTAAGTGCTCACATTGTAGATTTAATCCACTTTAATTGGTAAGCTATGACTGGGTTGACTCTGAATCTCTTTTCCTCTCTCTCTCTCTCTCTCTCTCTCTCTCTCTCTCTCTCTCATTCATGAAACAGTGACTAGCTGTAAGCCTGGATGGACGCAGCGTCTCTCCAGATGTTACTGGTTCTCCAATGACACTCGGAACTGGCACCAGGCGAGAGAATACTGCAGGACCCAGAATGCCTCAATACTCAAAGTGGAAAATGAAGATGAATGGGTGAGGAACATGGACAAACATTTCCCCTTATAAAGCTGCAGCAGAACAAGGTGAACAAGGTGAAGGAGATGTGGAGTGTAAAGGCCTCTGCAGACTTCTTGTGGAGACGATGTTTGTCTGGCTTCAGCTAACAATATGATGCAATTGTGGAGAGAACAACCGCAGACGTCGCGCGGAGGCTTCTTCCGCTGTGTCGCGTACGTGGCAGCTGGCTGAACTCCACAGATAAAGACGCTACGCTTTCATAAAAAAGGAGGCGTACCATTAGACAAAGTACTAAGCACCAGAATATATAGGTTATCTTATATTTAGGTTCACAAGAGGACAAGGCTGAAGCTAGCTTTCTATTTGCCAGCTTCTTGTTTCGAATTTTCCCGTTCCACCTTAAATGGTGGCAGTATTCTGAACTCTAATGTGAGCTAATGTGAGCTCGTGAAGGCCCTTTCGGCTTCGCATAACCCTCGAGAATTCCGTTTCACAAGAAGTATGCTGAGGCCTTAAGGAGGGCCATCATCACCTGCTATAAACTGACTGGAAACCAGTTGGTGGAGGGTGCAGGTCCATCCATGGGGCGCTACACTACCTGTTCTCCCTCTGAGACAGCAGAAAAGGTCTTACATCAGGAAGACTTCCTGCTAGCCCCTGAAATCATGATCCCCTGCAGCTTAGACCCACATACTGTGCTATTCTATTAGCTCATATTCTTTTCAGCATCAGCTTTAATGACAGTCAAGTAATAAAACCCTGAACATCCTTTGGTAATAAATTATTTCACCTCTTGTTTTGAAACTTGTGACTACAGACGTGCACTCGTGAACTCCTGCTGGTGTGGGTTCATGGCTGTTTCTTCTCTTTATGTTACATACACAAATGTGCTAATAGCTCCCCTTGTGGAGAAGATCCAGACTGCAAAACATGCAAGAGTGAGTGAGTGATTTCCAGATCCATGTCCATGAGTCTGGTTATAGCGGAGGCACTCTGTATTCAGCTGTAGATGCCTGAGGGGACCTGTTATATTTTGATAATTGTACAACCTTCAGGACACTTAAGCTATATGGAAAATGCTGATGATATTTTCTCAGATGGTATGTTGCACTATGGGAAATGTTCACCAGAATGACTGTTATATCCACCATTTTAACAGTAAAAGATAATAAATAATTAGCCATACATAATTATTTAATATTATTGTATTATATATATCTGATTACATCGCTTTATGGCCCAGGACTGAATCTGGATTCGCTAGAGGCCATCGCAGAGAACAGAAAGGCAACAAAATTGGACAACATTTTAAACCACTCAGCCACTGGCTAATTTCACCAATGAATCATTTTGTTTTAATTTTTTGTTCTATCTAGTTTAGACATTGGAACCGGAAAACAGCCCTTTCATTATGCTGCTCTGGTATAATGACAGAGTTAAACATTTTAATTTCATTCAATTCCTGTCTCAGAACCTCATTTCTCATGCTATCTCTCTCTCTCTCTCTCTCTCTCTCTCCAGGCATTTGTAACTGCTAACTTGAATGAATACTGGATTGGTCTCACAGATGAAATCACAGGGCAGTGGAGATGGGCTGATGAAACACCTTATGTGATAGATAGAAAGTGAGTTTTTCTTCTTTCAGATTTTGTTAATGCTGAGGTAATCCACGCTTGTCAGACTGGGGATATTTTTCCTATTAAATTCTTTTAAAAACTCAAACAAGGTTTGAAAGCAAGGAGCCCAACTGGAAAAATGGTATTAAAACAACCAACTGTGTATGTGGTCCAGAAAGTCCATCAAGTAAGGGCAAGTTGTCCTGGTCCATAGGCAGCACAACAGATCCAAACTGTGATACTGCCACCACCATGTTTCACAGGAGAGTAGTAGCTTCCTTCTTGCCTCATTACACAGTATTATTGCTCTGTGTTTACTTGATGTTGGACTCATGAACACTGACATTAGACAGTGAAAGAGAGGCCTGAAGATGCTAAGGTGTTAGCCTGGGGTTATTTGTGGTCTTCCAGAATAGTGGATTGGTGAAGCCTAAAAAGAAATCAATGCGTAACGTCTTCCAGCCTGATAACCATTGACAACTGTTTTTCTGAGATCCTTAAACGTCTCCTTTTACCAAACTTTGACTCACAATTGACGTTATCATCTGTAACAAACTGATCATTCAAGAGGTTCACATTTTTTATCAACATAGATGTTTCATTTTGGACCACTTTGTTCAGTAAATGACTGTAAGATGACTGTTTTGTGTTTTGTTTTATTGGGCGTTCTTCTATTTTTGGGACTTAGATGAAGATTTGATCACATTTGGAGTCAGATTTTTAATTCTTCTTTCTTTCTAGCACCACTGTACTGATTATATCGACAAAGTGAATTTTGTCAGAACTAAACAAAATAAATTGACATCTACATCACTGACAAACATAGTATATTTAAAGGCCCTGACATTTCTATGTATTTTGTGTATTTGCATCTTATGTACAGCTACTGGTGAAACAGTATACAAAAAACTGTGTTTTGTGACCCTTGCAGAAAGTGGGCACCCGGACAGCCTGATAACTGGACCGGTGACGGAGAGGATGGAGAACACTGTGCACATATAAGACGTAGGAAGCTGAATGACTTGCACTGCAAAATTAGAATGAACTACATCTGCAAGGCGTAGATCGCTCTGCACGGAAAAGACTGGTGTGTTGGGTGTTCATGGACAAAATGCACGTTTTGTACATTTGAGTGATTCAGGACTTTTGAGACCAGACCTTAATAACATGCCTGTAAACAAACCTGTGGTTTTATTATGTAACTTTTAGATTTCAGTTTATTCTACTTTTTAATAGTAAGGCATCCATTTGATTTTGAACATTGTAATGTGCAGTGATGAAGGGACTCTGTGAAGTGGAGAACCTGCAGTGAAGTATGTTTTATGGCACTGAAGCCTCCAGCATTACCGTGTACTCACAGCCTTTCCTCTGTAGAATTTTTGTAGAGCATTGTAAATAATATTTACAATTCAAAACCAGGCTGGTCACAACTGGACTGTGGGTAGATCTGAGGGGTGAAGATTCTGATTATTTGCACCCCACACCACAGGATAATCTGGGAAGATGATCATTTAAGACCTTTCTGAAATTTGGACATCATCTGTGATTGTCGGGAGGCGAATCAGCCTCAAAATCGGCCCAATTATCCTGCACTGTTGGACACTGGGGGCCAGGTTTACTAAAAGAGGTGCTAGTTACCAGCTGCCTACTGACACTTTGCATCTGTGGGACGTGTTTTTTTTTTGTTGGTTTTTTCTTCCATGCAAATGAACACAGTCTCAACTTCATAATTAACATATGAGCAGCACAGTATAACTGCATGTTTGACTCACATGCTTTTTGCCATGTAAGGGAAAAGGGCCGTGACCCAAACCGCATACTACAGCACTGAATAGTGTTAAAAATCCACCATTAGAAGTGCATATATTAGTGTAGTATGTAAAGTATAGAAGTGTGCAGAATGGGACGCAGCCAAAACGTTTTTTATCCTCTGATAAACTGACTAATAGCTAAAGAACAAGTTATTAATAATAAAAATGTAAAAATAATGACATTTGTATAGCGCTTTTCTAGGACCCAAAGATGCTTACAGATTACAATTAGTAGCACAACAACAAATGACACAGGAGAGATACATATTCACAGCACAGATGACGAACTGACGTGAGCCGTTCTTTGAGAAAGTGTCAACATTTTGACATAGGTAAAAACAAAAATGTTAGATAAAAAATGATTATTTTGACTTTGTTTTGAAACATGCTCGTTTTTGTGGTTTGAGCAGAACTTGAGTGTGTTTAGAATTTGTGTTATTTTGTAAAATCTGTTTAATTTGACTGAGAACTTCCCGCTCTGTTGGGAAAAATGATTTGAGGCAATGAATGAGGCAAAAGCACAAACAAGCAGCTCCACCCCTTTTTTAGTAAATGTTGACACACTTTTTAAGGCCAAAACAGAGTTTGTGACGATACAAAATGTAGCTAAACGTGCCCCAGATGGAAAACGGCTAACTTGTGATGAATAAGTTGATACCAAATGATGATCTTGAAAGTTAATTATTAAATTAAATCCACATGAGCAGAGTGTAAAATAAACTTGAGCTGGATGTTTATTGGTGTTTTTGTGTGATGATTCCATGGTGTGGCATGGTGTTTGCGGTGCGGTGCGGTGCATCTGGTGTCAGGGTCTTGCAACGGGTAAATCTTGTGCTGGAGAGATAAGAGACAAAGGTGATTAATTGGATCCCCAGAACACACAGCCATTCCCAGCATGCCCAGAAAATACACCACTGATTTCACTCTTTACTCAACACATTTCTGTGCTGAAAAGGAATGTCACTCATGGGTGGATTTAGCCCAAAAAGCATGAATGGCGCCCCCTGGCTGCACATTTATAAATCACTTCTGAGTGGTGCAACCATCTATCTATCTATCTATCTATCTATCTATCTATCTATCTATCTATCTATCTATATCTACATATGTATATATATATATATTTGGAGATTGTTGCAAATACATTATAAGATTAATTAAAGGGCCCATATACTACACACAGTCCTGGCAAAGAGCTGCAGCCACTGCCTAATAACTAAACAACACAGCCTGCATTCAACCTGCAGATGTTTTTTTCTCTTTGCTTATCTGGGATTGCTTGTCTTTTACGTAACACTGAACAGAATTATATGAGACCTGATCTTATGAATGAGTTGAGCTTTTTGGCTTTTTCTATCTCCATCAGCTCCAGAGAAGAAGGAAATATTAACAATGGACACTTGCTATGTTGGCCAAGTGTAAGTGAAAAAATATTCACTGAAGTTCAGAGAAATACTGTGATACGCAAAAACACAGACATAAACATTTTCACTTCTTTATTTTCTACAAATATTAATAGCTGAGAATTATTTTATTTTTTTTAAAGAAAACCAGGACCTACAAATTCCGTTTTACTGCTGTACCATGTTTTTTCTTTTCCTTTGGTAAATGGAGGGCTTTATGTGTGAAGCTGTATACTTTAATCTGATCACATGCCCTCCTGTTGGGGTCTGTACTTCTGTTTTTCCACTCAAACCTTATGAAGGGAGGTGAGGTCTGGCTATTGAAGCGTCCCCAAAGTAAAGGGTTGATTCAATGTTTATAGACAAAGTTTTAACTGAATTTTAAACTGAAACACAATCTGTGGTAAGTTCAGTGTCTTTTTCATATATAACTGAGCTTATATGCTTTAGGTTATGCATAAAATGACAAAAAAACAGAACTGACTGTTCGTAAAATGCTGAGAAAGTCCCGGCTCTCTTAGTTCCTGTTGATACATCCTTCAAACTAAAAAGACTGAAAACATCAGCAGCACCAAGAAACTCACAGAGGAGAACATCTGAAATATGTTTAATTCTAACCATGTTTAAACAAACCGATGATGGACTCAAGACAGACATGCCTGATGGCGATGATGGGTGTGGGACAAAACCATATGATGACTGACGGACTCAGGACAACACACATGTTGACGATGATGATGATGGTGATGATGGTGGATTCAGGGCAACACAAATGATGATGATAAACGACTCAGGACTACACACATGAAGACGACGATGATGATGATGGACTCAGGACAACACACATGATGATGAAGATGTGCTAAAGAAAACACAATGATGACGATGCACTCAAGACAACACGTAATAACAGTGATGCACTCAGGAAAACACACATCATGATGATATAATTAAGTTTTTAATTAGGTTGGTAGTTAATGTGGCGTGTAAGGCCTTCAGTTCAGCTCCTGAAGTCCTGACCAATGGGAGAGCTCGCTTGGCTGTATCTACCTAGATATCACAGAGAAAGCAATCCTGACTGGATCATTTTTTTATTTAAGGTTTTAACATTTTGGTTTCCAACTGATGTTTAACAGTGAAAAAAGAATTACTACAGAGTTCAAATACAACAAGCACGACAATTCTATTAAATAAAAATGAGCTCAAATTTATAGATGTTTTAATTTTACAGAAACGAAGGCTTGAAGGCTCTGAGCATTGTGCACTGCTGATCTGGAATTGCTTGTCTTTTACATAACACTGAACAGAATCACATGAGACACGATCTTATGAATAAATTCATCTCCATCAGCTCCAAAGAAGAAGGACATATTAAAAATGGAGACTTGCTAAGCTGATAACATGACTTCATAAAAAGTTTCATCACAGTTTTTTGGAAAAAAATATTCCAGTTCACAGAAATTCTATGACACACAAAAATGCAGATGTAAACATTTTCACTTCTTTATTTTCTACAAATAATAATATCTGACATTGTTGAGGTTTTATAAAAGTGAAAACCAGGGCCTACAAAGTACACTTCCGTTTAACTGCTGTACATAGTTTTTCGTTTCCTTTGGTAAGTGGAGGGCTTTATGTGTAAAGCTATATACTCTAATCTGATCACGTACACTGTACTTCTGGTTTTCCACTCAAACATCATAAAGTGAGGTCAGGCTAATAAAGCATCCTCAAAGTAAAGTGTGGGTTGATTCAATGTTTATAGACAACCTGTGGTAAGTTACTTTTCTTTTTTGATATATATATATATATATGTATATATTTGAGTTTATACATAACATGATAAAAACTGAATTGATTGTAAAATTCGGAGAAAATCTTGACTGTTACTAGAAAGTTTAGCAGCTGCAAGAAACTCACAAGCATCTGAAATATGTTGATTTCTATCCATGTTTAATCACAATGATGATGATGATGATGGAATCAACAACACACATGATGATAATGATGGACTCTTTTCTAAAGGTTTGCTGATGGTTTTCTCATGGGTTTCTGAACAATTTCTAATGGTTGTCTAATGGGTTACTGAACAGTGTCTGTTGGTTGTGTAATGATTTTCTGAAGGTATTGTAATGGTTTCTAGTGGGTTTCTAATGGTTTTCTAATGGGTTTAAATGGTTGTCTAATGGTTTTCTGATGGTGGTCTATTGGTTGTCTAATGGTTTCAAATGGTTGTCTAATGGTTTTCTGATGGTGGTCTATTGGTTGTCTAATGGTTGTTTAATGGTCATCTGAATATTTTCCAATGGTTGTGTAATGGTTTGCTAATGGTTGTCTATTGGTTGTCTAATGGTTGTATAATGATTATCTGAAGGTTTTCTAATGGTTTTCTGAATGTTGTCCATTGGTTGCCTAATGGTTTTCTGAAGGTTTGCTAATGGTTGTCTAAGCGTTTTCAGAACATTGTCTATTGGTTGTATAATGATTTTCTGAAGGAAATCTAAAGGTTTCCATAGATATCCTAATGGTTTCTAATGGTTTTCTAATGGTTGTCTAATGAATTTCTCAAGGTTGCCAATTGGTGGAATAATGGTTGTCTAATGGTTTTCTGAACATTGTTTATTGGTTTTCTAATGGTTGTCTGATGCTTGTATGATCGTTTTCTGAATGTTTTCTAATGGTTTTCTGAAGGTTGTCTAATGGTTTTCTGAACATTGTCTATTGGTTGGATAATTATTTTCTGAAGGTTTTCTAGAGGTTTTTAGTGGTTTTCTAATGGTTTCTAATGATTTTCTAAAGGTTGTCCAATGGTTTTTGGAAGGGTGTCTATTGGTTGTAAAAAGGTTGTATAATGGTTATCTGAAGGTTTTCTAATGGTTTTCTGATGGTTGTCTAATGAATTTATCAAGTTTGCCAATTGGTGGAATAATGGTTGTCTAACGGTTTTCTGAACGTTGTTTATTGGTTTGCTAATGGTTGTCTGATGCTTGTACGATGGTTTTCTGAATGTTTTCTAATGGTTGTCTAATGGTTTTCCACTGGTTGTCTATTGGTTGTATAATGGATGTATAATAGTTTCTGAAAGTTTTAGTTTTCTGATGGTTGTCTAATGGTTGTGTAATGGTTTTCTGAACATTGTCTATTGGTTGAATAATTATTTTCTGAAGGTATTCTAGAGGATTTTAGTGGTTTTCTAATGGTTTTCTGAATTTTGTGTATTCGTTGTCCAATGGTTGAATAACGGTTATCTGAAGGTTGTCTAATGGTTTCTAATGGTTTTCAAATGGCTGTGTAACTGTTGTCTAATAGTTGTCAAATGGTTTTCTGAAAGTTGTAACTGAAGGTATACTCATGGTTTCTAGTGTGTTTCTAATGTTTTCTAATTGTTTTCTAAAGGTTGTCTAGTGGTTTCTCAAGGTTGTCTATTGGTTGTCTAATGGTTGTCTACTGGTTTTCCGAACGTTGTCTATTGGTGGTAAAATGGATTTTTGAAGGTTTTCCAATGGTTTCTAGTGGTATTTTCCAATGGTTGTGTAATGGTTTTCTAATGGTTGTCTAATGGTTTACTGAAGGTTTCCGAATGGTTTCTAATGGTTTTCGGAATGTTTTCTAATGGTTGTCTAATTGTTTTCTCAAGGTTGACTATGTTGTCTAATGGTTGTATAATAGTTGTATAATGGTTTTCTGAAAGTTTTCTAATGGTTTCTAATGGTTTTCTAATGGTTTCTAATGGTTTTCTGATCGTGGTCTATTGGTTTTGTAATGGTTATCTGAATGTTTTCCAATGGTTGTCTAATGGTTTCTAATGGTCGTCTAATGGTTTTCTGAAGGTTGTCTATCTGAAGGTATACTCATGGTTTCTAGTGTGTTTCTAATGTTTTCTAATTGTTTTCTAAAGGTTGTCTAGTGGTTTCTCAAGGTTGTCTATTGGTTGTCTAATGGTTGTCTAATGGTTTTCTGAACGTTGTCTGTTGGTGGTAAAATGGATTTTTGAAGGTTTTCCAATGGTTTCTAGTGATATTCTAATGGTTTCTAATGGTTTCAAAAGGTTGTCTAATGGTTTTCTGAACATTGTCTATTGGTTGTCTAATGGTTTTCTGAAGGTTGTCTATTGGTTTCTATTGGGTTTCTAATGGTTTTCTAATCGTGGTATATTGGTTGTCTAATGGTTGTGTAATGGTCATCTGAATGTTTTACAATGGTTGTGTGATCGTTTTCTAATGGTTGGCTATTGGTTATATAATGGTTGTATAATGATTATCTGAAGTTTGTCTAATGGTTTTCTGAAGGTTAACTATGTTGTCTAATGGTTGTATAATAGTTGTATAATGGTTTTCTGAAAGTTTTCTAATGGTGTCTAATGGTTTTCTAATGGTTGTCTAATGGTTTTCTGAAAGTTGTATCTGAAGGTATACTCATGGTTTCTAGTGTGTTTCTAATGTTTTCTAATTGTTTTCTAAAGGTTGTCTAGTGGTCTATTGGTTGTCTAATGGTTGTCTACTGGTTTTCCGAACATTGTCTATTGGTGGTAAAATGGATTTTTGAAGGTTTTCCAATGGTTTCTAGTGGTATTTTCCAATGGTTGTGTAATGGTTTTCTAATGGTTGTCTAATGGTTTACTGAAGGTTTTCTAATGGTTTCTAATGGTTTTCTGAATGTTTTCTAATGGTCGTCTAATGTTTTTTTAATGGTTGTCTCTTGGTTGTCTATTGGTTGTATAATGGCTGTATAATAGTTTCTGAAAGTTTTAGTTTTCTGAACGTTGTCTAATAGTTGTCAAATGGTTTTCTGAAAGTTGTATCTGAAGGTATACTCATGGTTTCTAGTGTGTTTCTAATGTTTTCTAATTGTTTTCTAAAGGTTGTCTAGTGGTCTATTGGTTGTCTAATGGTTGTCTACTGGTTTTCCGAACATTGTCTATTGGTGGTAAAATGGATTTTTGAAGGTTTTCCAATGGTTTCTAGTGGTATTTTCCAATGGTTGTGTAATGGTTTTCTAATGGTTGTCTAATGGTTTACTGAAGGTTTTCTAATGGTTTCTAATGGTTTTCTGAATGTTTTCTAATGGTCGTCTAATGTTTTTTTAATGGTTGTCTCTTGGTTGTCTATTGGTTGTATAATGGCTGTATAATAGTTTCTGAAAGTTTTAGTTTTCTGAACGTTGTCTAATAGTTGTCAAATGGTTTTCTGAAAGTTGTATCTGAAGGTATACTCATGGTTTCTAGTGTGTTTCTAATGTTTTCTAATTGTTTTCTAAAGGTTGTCTAGTGGTTTCTCAAGGTTGTCTATTGGTTGTCTAATGGTGGTAAAATGGATTTTTGAAGGTTTTCCAATGGTTTCTAGTGGTATTTTCCAATGGTTGTGTAATGGTTTTCTAATGGTTGTCTAATGGTTTACTGAAGGTTTTCTAATGGTCGTCTAATGGTTTTTTATGGTTGTCTATTGGTTTCTAATGGTCGTCTAATGGTCGTCTAATGGTTTTTTTAATGGTTTCTAGTGGTTTCTCAAGGTTGTCTATTGGTTGTCTAATGGTTGTCTACTGGTTTTCCGAACATTGTCTATTGGTGGTAAAATGGATTTTTGAAGGTTTTCCAATGGTTTCTAGTGGTATTTTCCAATGGTTGTGTAATGGTTTTCTAATGGTTGTCTAATGGTTTACTGAAGGTTTTCTAATGGTTTCTAATGGTTTTCTGAATGTTTTCTATTGGTCATCTAATGGTTTTCTAATGGTTGTCTATTGGTTGTCTATTGGTTGTATAATGGATGTATAATAGTTTCAGAAAGTTTTAGTTTTCTGAAGGGTGTCTAATGGTTGTCAAATGGTTTTCTGAACATTGTCTATTGGTTGGATAATTATTTCCCAAGGTATTCTAGAGGTTTTGAGTGGTTTTCTAATAGTTTCTGATGGTTTTCTACAGGTTGTCCAATGGTTTTCTGAAGGTTTTCTAATGGTTTCTTACCGACTTCTAATGGTTGTCTATTAGTTGTATAATGGTTATATAATGGTTATCTAATGTTAGCTAATGTTTGTCTGATTGTGATATAATGTTTTCTAATGGTTTTTAGTGTTATCCTAATGGTATCTAATGGGTTTTGTATTTATCTAATGGTCTTCTGGAGCATGTCTATTGATTGTCTAATGATTGTCGAATGGTTTTCTGACCATTGTCTATTGGTGTTATAATGGTTTTCCGAAGGTTTTCTAATGCTTTCTACTAGTGTTCTAATGGTTTCCAATGGTTTTAAATGGCCATGTAATGGTTTTCTGAAGGTTGTTTATCAGTTATCTAATGGTTGTCAGATGGTGGTCTAATGGTTTTCTGAGTGCTGTCTATTGGTTGTCTAATGGTTCTATAATTGTTTTCTGAAGGGTTTGTAATGGTTTCTAATGGTTGTCTAATGGTTTTCTGAAAATTCTGTATTTGTTGTCCAACGGTTGTCTAATGATTTGTCCATTGGTTGTGTAATGATATTCTGAAGGTATTGTAATGCTTTCTATTGGGTTTCTATTGGTTTCTAGCGGTTTTCTAATGGTTTTCTAATCGTGGTATATTGGTTGTCTAATGTTTGTGTAATGGTTTTCAAATGGTTGGCTATTGGTTTTCTAACGGTTGTCTAATGGTTGTATAATGGTTTTCTGAAAGTTTTCTAATGGTTTCTAACGGTTGTCTAATGGTTTTCTGAAGATTGTCAATTGGTTGTATAATGGTTATCTAATGGTTTTCTGAACGTTGCCTATTGGTTGTCTAATGGTTTGCTGATTGTGGTATAATGGTTTTCTGAAGGTTTTCTAATGGTTTGTAATGGTTGTCTGTTTTTCTGAATGTTGTCTATTTGTGGAAAAATGGTTTTCTGGAGGTTTTCTAATGTTTTTTCATTGTTATCCTAATGGTTTCTAATGGGATTTTGTGTTTGTCTAATGATGTTCTGAAGGTTGTTTGTTGGTGTTATAATGGTTTTCTGAAGGTTTTCTAATGGTTTCTAGTGGTATTCTAATGGTTCCAATGGTTTTTAATGGTTGTGCAATGGTTTTCTGAAGGTTGTCTATTAGTTGTCTAATGGTTGTATAATGGTGGTCTATTGGTTGTTTATTGGTTGTATACCGGTTATCTGAAGGTTGTCTAATGGTTTCTAAAAGTTGTATATTGGATTTCTAATGGTTCTCTGAATGTTGTCTGTTGCTTCTGTAATGATTTTTTGAAGGTATACTCGTGGTTTTTAGTGTGTTTCTAATGTTTTCTAATGGTTTTCTAAAGGATGTCTAATGTTTTTCTGAAGGTTTGTATGATGGTAGTCTAATGGTTGTCTACTGGTTTTCCGAACATTGTCCATAGGTGGTATAATGGTTTTCTGGTTTCCTAATGGTTTCTAGTGGTATTGTAATGGTTTTTAAGGGTGTTTAATGGTTGTCTCATGGTTTTCTGAAAGTTGTATATTTATTGTCTAATGGTTTTCTGAACGTTGTCTATTGGGTATGTATTGTAATGGTTTCTATTTGATGTCTAATGGTTTATAATGGTTTTCTAATGGTTTATAATGGTTTTCTGATTATGATGTATTGGTTGTCTAATGGTTGAGTAATGGTTATCTGAATGTTTCCCAAAGGTTGTGTAATGTTTTTGTAATGGTTGGCTATTGGTTGTAAAATTGTTGTATAATGATTATCTGAAGTTTTTCTAATGGTTGTCTAATGGTTTTCTGAAGGTTGACTATTGGTTGTCTAATGGTCGTCTAATGGCTTTATAATTTGTCTGAAAGTTTTCTAATGGCTTTGTAATGGTTGTCTAATGGTTTTCAGAATGTTGTCTATTGATTGTCTAACGGTTGTATAATGGTTTTGTGAAAGATTACTAATGGTTTCTAGTGGTTTTCTCATGGTTTCTAATGTTTTTAATGGTTGTCTAATGGTTGTCAAATGGTTGTCTAATGGTTTTCTGAAACCTGTATATTCGTTGTCTAATGGTTTTCTGAAGGTTGTCTATTGGTTGTGTAATGATTTTCTGAAGTTATTGTAATGGTTTCTAGTTGGTTTCTAATGTTTTCTAATGGTTGTTATCTATTGGTTGTGTAATGGTTATCTGAATGTTTTCCAATGGTTGTGTAATGTTTTTTAATTGTTGGCTATTGTTTGTAAAATGGTTGTATAATGACTATCTGAACATTTTCTAATTGTTGTCTAATGGTTTTCTGAAGGTTGACTATTGGCTGTCTAACAGTTGTCTAATGGTTGCCTAATGGCTTTTTTAAGGTTGTCTATTGGTTTTGTATTGATTTTCTGAAAGTGTTGGAATGGTTTCTATTGGGTTTCTAATGGTTTTTAATGTTTTTCTAATGGTTTCTAATGGTTTTCCAATTGTGGTATATTGTTTGTGTAATAGTTATCTGAATGCAGTCCAATGGCTGTGTAATGGCTTTCCAATGGTTTTATATTGGTTGTAAAATGGTTGTATAATGGTTATCTGAAGGTTTTTATAAGGTTGTCTAATGGTTTTCTGAAGGTTGACTATTGGTTGTCTAACGATTGTCTAGTGGTTGTATAATGGTTTTCTAAATGTTTTCTAATGTTTTTCTAATGGTTGTCTAATGGTTTTCTGAAGGTTGTCAATTGGTTGTATGTTAGTTGTCTAATGGTTTTTTGAGCGTTCCCTATTGGTTGTCCAGTGGTTGTCTGTGGTATAATGGTGTTCAGAAGGTTGTTTAATGGTTTGTAATGGTGTCTAATGTTTTTCAGAACGTTGTCTATTGGTGTTATAATGGTTTTCTGAAGGTTTTCTCATGGTTGTCTAATTGTTGTCTAATAGTTGTCTAAATGTTTCCTAATGGTTTTCTAATGGTGGTCTAATGGTTGTCAAAAGGTTTTTACTGGATGTCTAATAGTTTTCTAATGGTTTTCTAGTGGTTTTCTGAATGTTTTCTAATGGCTGATGTTTTTCTAATGGTAGTCTATTGGTTTTGTTATGTTTGTGTAATGTTTTTGAGATGTTTTTCAAATGTTAGTCTAAAGGTTTTTTCTAATGGCTTTCTAATTGTATTCTGATGGTTGTTTAATATTTTTCTCAGTGTTTTCTTGTTGTGGTCTAATTGTTTTCTGATGATTTTCTAATAGTTATCTAATGGTTTTCTAATGTTTGTCTAATGTTTTCTGTTTGTTGAATAATGTCTGAAGGTATTCAAGAGGTTTTTATTGGTTTTCTAATGGTTTCTAATGGTTTTCTAGTGGTTGTCGGATTTTTTTCTGAAGGTTGTCTACCAATTGCCTAATGTTTGTCAAATTGTTGTCTAATAGTTTTCTGAATGTTGTACATTCATTGTCTGATGGTTGTCTAATGGTTTTCTGAACATTGTCTATTGGTTGTATAATGAATTTCTTAAGGTATTTCTATTGCGTTTCTAACAGTTTCTATTGGTTTCTAATGGTTTTCTAATTGTTGTATAATGGTTTTCTGGAGGTTGACAAATGGTTATTTAATGGTTTTCTGAATGTTGTTTTGTGAATGTATAATGGTTTTCTGATGGTTGTCTGATGGTTGTCTTAAGGTTCCCTATTGGTTGTCTAATGGTTGTCTAATGGTTTTCTGAACTTTGTCTATTAGTTGTACAATTGTTTTCTGAAGGTTTTCTAATGGTTTCTTGTGCTGTTCTAATGGTTTCTAATGGTTTTCTGAAGATTTTCTAATGGTTTCTATTGGTTGTCTAATGGTTCTCTGCATGTTGTCTGTTGCTTATATTATGGCTGTCTGATGGTTGTATAATAATTTTTTCAAGGTTTTTCTAATAGTTTCTAATGGTTTTCTAATGGTTGTCTAATGGTTTTCTGAAGGTGGTACATTATCTAATGGTTGCTTAATGCTTATCTGAATGTTTTCCAGTGGTTGTCTATTGGTTGTCTAATGGTTGTCTCAATGTTGTATATTGGTTGTGTATTGGTTATTGATTTTCTGAAGGTCTTCTCATGGTTTCTACTGGATTTCTAATGGTTTTGTAATGGTTGTGTAATGTTTTTCTAATGGTTGTCTTTTAGTTGTATAATGGTTGTATAATGGTTGTATAATGGTTATCTGTATTTTTTCCAATGGTTGTGTAATGTTTTTCTAATGGTTGTCTTTTAGTTGTATAATGGTTGTATAATGGTTGTCTGAAGGTTATCAAATGTTTCCTAATGGTTTTCCAATGGTTGTCTGAACATTTTCCAATGGTTGTCTGATGGTTGTCTAATGGTTCTATAATGGTTATCTGAAGGTTTTCTAATGGTTTCTAATGGTTATCTAGTGGTTTTCTAAATGTTGTCTATTGGTTGTCTAATGATTGTATAATTGTTTTCTGAAGATTTTCTAACGGTTTCTAATGGTTTTCTAATGGTTGTCCAAAGGTTTTCTGTTTGTTGTCTAATGGTCGTACAACGGTTTTCTGAATGTTTTCTAATGGTTTCTAATGGTTGTCTAATGGTTTTCTATACATTGTGTATTGGTTGCCTAATCCTTGTGTAATGGTTTTCTGAACGTTGTTTATTGACTGTATGATGATTTTCTGAAGGTTTTCTAATGGTTTCTAGTGGGTTTCTAATGGTTTGTAGTGGTTTTCTAATGACTGTCTAATAGTTTTCTCCAGGTTGTCTATTCGTTGTCCAGTGGTTGTCAAATGGTTTTATCAAAGTTGTATATGAGTTGTCTGAAAGTTGTCGATTTGTTGTATAATGGTTTTCTGAACTTTTTCTAATCGTTTCCATTGGCTTTTTCATGGTTTCTAATGGTTCTCTATTTGATTTCTAAAGTTGCCTATTGGTTGTCAAATAGTTGTCTAATGGTTCTCTGAACATTGTCTATTTGTTCTATAATGGTTATTTGAAGTTTATCTAATGGTTTCCCACTGGTTGTCTAATGTTTTTCTGAACGTTGACTGTTGGTTGTCTAATGGTTTTCTGAAGGTTTTCTAATGGTTTCTAATGGTTTTCTAATGGTTGTCTAATGGTTTTCTGAAGGTTTCCTTTTGGTTTTCTAATTGTTGTCTAATGGTTTTCTTAATGTTGTCAATTGGTTGTACAATGGTTTTTCTGAAGATTTTCTAATTGTTGCGAAATTTTTTTTTCAAGGTCGTCTAATGTTTTTCTTATGGTTTTCTAATGGTTGTGTAATGGTTGTACAATGTTTTCCTGAAGACTTTCTTATGGTTTCTAGTGGTTTTCTAATGCGTGTCTAATGGTTTTGTAAAGATTGTGTAATGGTTTTCTGATGGTTGTATATTGATTGTCTAATGGTTGTCTATTGGTTGTATAATATTTTTCTGATGGTTTTCTAATGGTTGTCTAATGGTTATGTCATGTTTGTGTAATGGTTTTGAAATGTTTTTCAAATTTTAGTGTAAAGGTTTTTTCTAATGGTTCTCTAATTGTATTCTGATGTTTGTCTGACGGTTTTGTAAACAAATTTTTAATTAGTTTTCTTTTGGTTTTCTAATGTTTGTCTAATAGTTTTCTGATGGTTTAATGCTTGTCTAATGGGTTTCTAATGGTTTTGTAAATGTTGTCTGTTGCTTTTCTAATGGTTGTGTAATGGTTTTCTCATTCTTTTCTAATGGTTTTATTATGATTGTCTAATTGTTGTGTAATTATATCTTAATGTTGTTCTGATGGTTTCTAATGGTGATAAGTCAAAATACTGGACTCAAACAAATGAGAAAATAACCTCCATTTTTTCTGATGGAGAAAACCAGAAACAGCTAAAGTTTCTAAGCTAAACTTTCCATATCAAACACATCACATAGTTCACCTACCTTAAAATAGATAAATACCTTTACAGTTTAAAATTGATTTACAAATTTACAAATAATATTGTTTCGCTGTGCATTATGGAGCATGCTGACTGTTCTAAGTAGCCAACATTTGCGTGCCTAACTTAAGATCAGAGACTTTAGCAGGTCCGTTAGCTCAGCTCCTTCAGGATCTGGAGGTGCTTGTGGTTGTAGGATCACCCTTAATAAGTTAAAGGAGATGAACACAACGACAGGATCACCCACCATACAGAGAAGATTCAGTTAAAGGGGAGTTCCACTGATTTTTCAAAATTTCTGCATAACTCAGTGTGTGAGATGTAATCAGAGAGATTCAGAGTGGTTTGGTATGAAATGGTTGAAATGGTCACATGTTGCTTCATGTCTCCTGAAAAGTTAGCATTTTCTTTGGGGACTATTTTGCCTCACAACACCCTGCATATTATGTATCCCTCCACCATAAATGGATTTTAAGGCCAACATCTTCTCAAAACTACCATAAAACAGCGTCTCAGTCATCAGGCAGTGAATTCATAACCATTTCATGTAGGAACTTTCTGTGAGGGAGCTTTTAGAGGTGGACGTCTGGTTCCTATCACCACCACTGTGAACAGTTCTGACCCGGTAAGTTTCCCTTCTTTGTGTTCGTATAAAGTATATTTTTCCTTTTATTTTACAGTTGGCTATCAGGAGAGGAGATTTGGAGAGTTGGAGAGCTCCATGATGAGTCACAGTTCTTTACTAAACACGATGAATTCTGATCTGAAAGGCAAACCGAAAGACTCAGGTGAGTCTATCTTAGACTGTCTGTCCAAAAGTCTGTAAACTCCAGCGTTTCTTCTGCAATAAAGTGCATTAATAGGCAGTGTTTCCCCCTTTGCTGCAGTTCCACTGCTCCACAGCCCAATGCTGGGGGCTTTGTACCCCTCTAGCCCACACTTGGCATTGGGCATGGAGACCTTAGGCTCATGTGCAGCAGCTCCAGAGCATCCCATCCTATTGATCGGTGCTTTTCTATGAACACTATACAAGCTGTGTCATCAACGAGTGACTTTAAAGTAGCAGAATTCACTCATTAGAAGGGCTGTCTGGTTACTTTTGCACAGATAGTGTAAAAAATCACGCCATCAAAAAACTGAGCATTATTCGCCATTTAACTCTAATGTGGAATCAGGATGCCGTTTGTTGAATCTGGTGTCTGTTGAATCTAGACAGCAGAATCACATGCAGGACTCTGGTGAGATAAAGACTTATTTACAACCCCATTTCCAAAAAAGTTGTGACGCTGTGCAAAATATATATAAAAACGTGCAATAATGTACAAATCATTTAATCCCTTTATTTCACTGAAAACAGGACAAAGACAACATATCAAATGTTAAAACTGAGAAATTCTATTCCTTATTGAAAAATATTTGCCCATTTTGAATTTGATGCCAACAAAATGTTCCAAAAAATTTGAGAGGGGGCAACAAAAGACTGGTAAAGTTGTGTAAGGCTAAAAAAACACCTGGTGGTTGATTGGCAACAGGTCAGTAACATGACTGGGTATAAAAGAGCATCTCAGAGAGGCGGAGTCTTTCAGAAGTAAAGATGAGGAGGGGTTCACCACTCTGTGAAAGACTGCACCATCAAATAGTGCAACAATTCAAGAAGAACGTCTCTCAACATAAAATAACAAAGAACTTTTGCTTTTCATCATCTATGGTACATAATATCATTAAAAGGCTCAGAGAATCTGGAGAAATCTCTGTATGTAAGGGTCAAGGCCAAAAACCAGTATTAGCTGGCCGTGATCTTTGGGCCCTCAGGCAGCACTGCATTAAAAACAGACATGATTCTGTAGTGGAAATCACTGCATGGGCTCAGAAACACTTCTAACAACCACTGTCTGTGAACACAGTTCATCACTGAGTCCATAAATGACAGTTAAAACTCTAAAAGAAGGAGAAGTTTCCTGTGGTCCGATGGATCAACACTTGAAATTTTTTTTTGCAAATCATGAACACTGTGTCCTCTAAAAACCGCGCAGCTTGTTATCAGTGCACAGTTCAAAAGCCAGTATACATGATGGTATAGGGAGCATTAGTGCACATGGCATGGTTGACGTGCACATCTGTGAAGGCACCATTAATGCTAGTGTTGTTGGCATCAAATTCAAAATATTTTTTAAAAAACAATAACATTCCTCAGTTTCAACACTTGATATGTTGTCTTTGTAGTATTTTCCTTTAAAAATATGGTTTACATGATTTGCATATAATTGCATCCTAATTTTATTTATTTGGAAATGGTTGTACTCCCTCACCACACGTTAAATTGTTCACATCAAATTCGAACAACAATATTGAACCCATGATCTTAAGATGTTATCAAAGGTGCAAAGATAAACATGTAAAAATTCTGAAAATCCATGGTGAACCATGCCTATCAGAGCCTATTGCCCCAAATATTACAGACATGTTAATTTTAGTGTGCAGAAATCATTAGGCCATCTCTAAAGCCCTAGATTATTCCTCTCTGTTATAAAGCCCTAAAGATATACTTCCGAGATTGGTTGGATTAAAGTATGGGTGTGTCCATAGCATAAGCCCTGCCCACTTTACTCTGACAGGCTTTCTAATTTTGTTCACTGAAAGTAATTTCCATGAAAAACAGGCTACCCCGTCAGATAATGGTATCATAAAGGGGAATTCCACTGATTGTTCAAAATTCCCCTCATAATTCAGAGTTTGAGATTACACCATTTGGTGTGAAATGGCTGATTGTACAGATTCTGATCTCTTTACAGTGGTGGTGATAGGAACCAGGGGTCGCCATGACTACAACACAAATATAGACATTTTATTTACTATCCAGAACCACCAGTGAACCTACACGAGTCTTCTGAGTCTATATGGAATGTTGATGATGGAAAATAGTGGAACATCTGAAATAATAAGTTTTCTTTGGGGACTATTTTGCCTCACAGTGCCCTGCATGTTATGTATCCCTCCACCATGAATGGAGTTTAAGGCCAACATCTTCTCAAAACTATCATAAAACAGTGTCTCAGTCATCAGGCAGTGAATTCATAACCATTTCATGTAGGAACTTTCTGTGAGGGAGCTTTTAGAGGTGGACGTCTGGTTCCTATCACCACCACTGTGAACAATTCTGACTCGGTCAGTTTCTCTAGAAAGGAATGTTTCACACCAAACCACTCTGAACGACTCTGTTTACATCATTACACTACTTAATTAAGCAGAAATTTCTGAATTCCTTTCTAAGGAACTCTATAAAAAGTGATCATTCTAAAGATAGCAATCATCAAATCAGTTTATTGTAGTTTACAATCTGGTCATGTGTTAGTTCTTCTTAGATACATTAGGACACAATCCAGTCGATGACCAGGACAAGACACTGAAATGAAAGATTCTGCAACTAAACTGAATTCGTCTTTGGCTTTTCTTAAAATTTGGACTTTGGGGAAAAATGATTTGGATTCCCCTGAATAAAAAACAGGAACTTGTCAGAAAAGAACTCAGAAAAGAAGTTATTTTTGGTATTAATTTTAGTGCCAAATTCTGCTGATACAGAGCAAAGCACAGAAACACTGTGGTAGCTGCTTCTTAATAAGTGAAGGAAAAACTTTCAGCGTAAGTTAATCTAACAGGATTTTATTCCAAGCAGTTTAGAAACATTTCTATTGGTCCACTGATCCTGAAATTCTCAAATTATGTAAAAAAGTGGAGATACAAAGTTTTGCTCTTACAGTGACAATTATTATTTTTTGGTCATATTTAATTTTATGACATACTTTAAACATGGCACTTGACCTTTACATTGTATATAAATTTCATGATGAATCGGCCAGAAGAAATGATGCAAAATTGATTTATTGGAAGAATGAAGTTGTATTAAAAGTAAAGTGCATTTTTGTCTTTTCTTGTAAAGTTACTCTTTTGGAGATATAAGGTATCTACACTCACCAAGCCCTTTATTAGGAGCACTGCTGAGTAGGGCCTCCCTTTGCTCTCAAAACAGCCTCAGTTCTTCTTTCCTATGAGATTCTGGTCCATGTTGACACGACTGCAGACTTTTCAGCTGTATTTTCATGCTGCGACTCTCCCGTTCTACCGCATCCCAAAGGGTTCTTTTGGATTCAGATCTGGTGACTGTGAAGGCCACTGAAGAACTCACGATCATGTTCATGAAACCAGTTTGAGACTTTTGCTTTGTGACGTGGTGCATTATCATGCTGGAAGTAGCCATTAGAAGATGGTAAATTGTGGCTATGAAGAGATGAACATGGTCAGCAAGAAAACTTACAAACTGTGTGTGAAAATCTCAGAAGACCAGCAGTTATAGAAACACTCAAACCAGCCAGTCTGGACAACAATCATGCTACGCTCTAAATCACTGAGATCACATTTATCCTCATTCTGATGGGTGATGTAAACATTAGCAGAAGCTGCTGGTCTGTATCTGTATGATTGTGTTAACTGCACTGCTGCCACATGATTGGCTGATTAGATAATTGCATGAATGAGTAGGCATACAGGAATTCCTAATAATCAGTGAGGGTATATGTAATTTTTATATGTCATAGAATATCACAGTAATATTTTTGTTATGTAATATCATGTAATTATAAAAAATGAAAAAAAAGAAAAGAATATGTAGAAAAAAAACATGTCAAGAAACTTAAGTTCACTTTTTCTAGATTGGCCCTGAAATTAGCTGTTCCTGACTTATCTTGGCAAAAAGCAGGGAAAACTAATGTTATGCTGTTCTGCCACTTTGTAAGAGGTAAACATTTCAAAGGAAACTAGAGCTGCACCAATCTGATACTCAGTATTGGTATCAGCCCAGTACTGGCCAAAATCGTTGTATCGAACATGGGAAGAAAAAAAATTATAATCTGTTTTGATCCATTAACTAAACTTTGAGTGAGATGTGTCACAACTAGGGCTGTCAAAGAATATTCTAAATTTGATAATATAATTGAATTGTAAAAATACAGACATTCGACTGTGAAAATCTAAATCGCCTTTGTCTCACAAAACACAGCTGATTCCCCTCAAACCTACAAAGCATATCACATACATTATTGATCTGATAATAACATTTTGCATCTGTTCTTGTTAAAGAGTCTCAGAACAGGACGTTGACTGAGGTGGTGAAATTGTCTTCTTCTGTAGAGTCTCTGTCCTCTAAGCAACAGAGCACTGGTAAGGAGAATACTCACAAAGTCTCATTGTCTCATTATTATTATTATTATTATTATTATTATTATTATTATCCATCTGTGACAAATAAAGTAAGGAATTGTGTTTGCGTGGGTATGCAGGAGCGTGCATATGTACAATTTTATCAGCAGTGCCTGATGTATTATTTTCCTCAATATGTTAAATTCAGTAAATAAAAAAAAGAATTGTTTATTAAAATGTGCAGAAGCATGTTCTCTGTGGAGGATGTTATTAATAAGTTTATGAACTTATTTACACTCAAAAAATGAACAACAACAGGGAATTTCACCAAGAGGCAGCTGTAATGCATTTTGTCAGATGGTCAAGACTTTTGTACAGAAATGTTTGTTTTTCGTCTCCTCCTCAGATCAGAGAGTGATGGCTGCTCTAAATGAAATCAAGACTGAACTGGAGGGCAGCAGTGTACAAGCAAGTAAGAAGATCCATACACTGCTCTATAATGTTCATAAGATCCACACAGTCACTCTGACAGACTGTAATACACTACAGGAAGTGTAGGGGGCGATATGGCTTCTACTGTTTCATTTAAAAAGCTCTATAATGTTCATATGATCCACACAGCCACTCTGACAGACTGTAATACACTACAGGAAGTGTAGGGGGCGATATGGCTTCTGCTGTTTCATTTAAAAAGCTCTATAATGTTCATATGATCCACACAGTCACTCTGACAGACTGTAATACACTACAGGAAGTGTAGGGGGCGATATGGCTTCTACTGTTTCATTTTAAAAGCTCTATAATGTTCATATGATCCACACAGTCACTCTGACAGACTGTAATACACTACAGGAAGTGTAGGGGGCGATATGACTTCTACTGTTTCATTTAAAAAGCCTCTATAATGTTCATATGATCCACACAGTCACTCTGACAGACTGTAATACACTACAGGAAGTGTAGGGGGCGATATGGCTTCTACTATTTCATTTAAAAAGCTCTATAATGTTCATATGATCCACACAGTCACTCTGACAGACTGTAATACACTACAGGAAGTGTAGGGGGCGATATGGCTTCTACTGTTTCATTTAAAAAGCTCTATAATGTTCATATGATCCACACAGTCACTCTGACAGACTGTAATACACTACAGGAAGTGTAGGGGGCGATATGACTTCTACTGTTTAATTTAAAAAGCCTCTATAATGTTCATATGATCCACACCGTCACTCTGACAGACTGTAATACACTACAGGAAATGTAGGGGGCGATATGGCTTCTGCTGTTTCATTTAAAAAGTCTCTATAATGTTCATATGATCCACACAGTCACTCTGACAGACTGTAATACACTACAATAATACAACTTTTGTGAATAAGGGCTGCTGCCTTGCAAAGCATGATTGATTTCCCTCAAACCTACAGAACCAAACATATGACATATTTTTATTGATCTGAGAGTTCAGATTCTGCCCCATTTGCTTATTTAGATTTAAATAAGTATCTGAAGCTGGTACTGTAGGGGGCGATATGACTTTTATGTCATTTAAATATTGTAATACACCAATTTATCTATAGGTGAATTGAATGTGGAAGAAAACAAAAATAATAATGCCGTTTTTCAACAAATGATCTGGAGCCAGTAGTTTTTGAACACATAAGACCAGTGGATATCAAGTGAAGCGTATCTATATGAATTTATTGTGTATTATATATATATTTTTTACATTTTGTCTTTCCCAAGTATCTCATCACGGGATGATGTTTGCAATGATTAGACTGACTTCTTCTGTAGAGTCTCTGTCCTCTAAGCTGCAGAGCACAGGTGAGGAAACTTTCATCGTATTACAGTAATTAGTTTGTTTTTATATTTTATTATTATTACATTTCGATATTTGAATATTATAATACAAATTTTGTTCTCATATTGTGGAGAAAACTACACATGGCCATATTTTAGGTGCAAGGTTTACATGATGTATGCTTCTCCCAAACTGGCTCTATTATCAGCTGGTTAATAGTATTATTATTGTAGAGTCTGGTCAGATTGTTTCTTCTTCTTCTCCTCCTCAGATCAGAGAGTGATGGATGCTCTGAGTGAAATGAAGGCCATGCTGGAGACCATGTATGTGCTAGCAGGTAAGATCCATCTCCAGTCCTGACTTTTGTCACAAAATGGAAATGCTGATTTCCAGGGAACATTCATAAGACCAACCTTGGCTATATTTCCATAACTGAATCTAAATGTAGGTATTGTGATATAAACTGAGTCTGTTCTACAGTTTCTCATTAGGCTGAATGAATAACTGGCTCTAAATGTAGGTATTGTGATACATACTGAGTCCGTTCTACAGTTTCTCATTAGGTTGAATGAATAACTGACTCTAAATGTAGGTATTGTGTTATATACTGAGTCTGTTCTACAGTTTCTCATTAGGCTGAATGAATAACTGACTCTAAATGTAGGTATTGCGATACAAACTGAGTCTGTTCTACAGTTTCTCATTAGGCTGAATGAATAACTGACTCTAAATGTAGGTATTGTGATATAAACTGAGTCTGTTCTACAGTTTCTCATTAGGTTGAATGAATAACTGACTCTAAATGTAGGTATTGTGATATAAACTGAGTCTGTTCTACAGTTTCTCATTAGGCTGAATGAATAACCGACTCTAAATGTAGGTATTGTGATATAAACTGAGTCTGTTCTACAATTTCTCATCAGGCTGAATGAATAACCGACTCTAAATGTAGGTATTGTGATATAAACTGAGTCTGTTCTACAGTTTCTCATCAGGCTGAATGAATAACCGACTCTAAATGTAGGTATTGTGATATAAACTGAGTCTGTTCTACAGTTTCTCATTAGGTTGAATGAATAACCGACTCTAAATGTAGGTATTGTGATATAAACTGAGTCTGTTCTACAGTTTCTCATTAGGTTGAATGAATAACCGACTCTAAATGTAGGTATTGTGATATAAACTGAGTCTGTTCTACAGTTTCTCATTAGGCTGAATGAATAACTGACTCTAAATGTAGGTATTGTGATATAAACTGAGTCTGTTCTACAGTTTCTCATTAGGCTGAATGAATAACTGACTCTAAATGTAGGTATTGTGTTATAGACTGAGTCTGTTCTACAGTTTCTCATTAGGTTTAAAATGGTAAAACACGACTCTCTCTGAATTTCTCTATTAAGGAGGATTGACTTGTGAGCCTGGATGGACTCTTTTTCGCTCCAAGTGTTACTTTTTCTCTGACGACAAACTGAACTGGCACCAGGCACGAGATTACTGCAGGTCCCAGAATGCCTCATTGATCAAATTGGAAACTAAAGATGAATGGGTGAGGAACACACTCTGACATCAGGGGGTCTTTCAGTGGGACAATAGACCTTTGAAGATCTATTGCCTTTTGTCATTCTGTAGTTGGTGTCCTGCCCTTATTGGGAATTCCAGGTGTAAGCTGGTTTTGCCTACGGGGAAAAAATTAATGGTGTTTTTTGAAATTCTCTCCTGTGGTAAACAAAAAAGTTCCAGACCAGATACATTTAGTCCCATGTGCACCACCCCCCCACCCCGCAACACTGCCAAAGCCTCTGAACTACCACACGGGACAAAACATACTAAAAATGAAATCAAACAGAATTTTTTGAATTGCCTTTAAAATCTTCTCCATGCTCTCGTTCTTTCTCTAGGCGTTTATACGTCCTCGGGCTGCACTGAATTCCTACTGGGTTGGTCTCACTGATGAAGTCACAGGGCAGTGGAGATGGGACGATGGAACACCTTACATCATGAATAAAGAGTGAGAATATTTTCCAAACAACTTTTCAGTAAGAAAAACATTGTTGGAGATTAATTGTCTTTATGCTGACTTCATTATTATGTTATTTCACTTAGCTCATGATTTAATTTTTCACTGCCAACATTTGGAATGAAGCTTTCCTGTAGTATTTCCATCAGCCACCTCTAGAGGGCACACTGGTCACTGCCACTAGAGTTTGGCATCATCAGCATAAGACAGGTGGTGGCATTCTGCAGTAGTAGAGGGTGGTATGGGCTAAAATTTCTATCACGGTATAATTAAGATTATTGATGGTTTTGGTATATATATCACAGTATAGTATATTAATTTATACATTTTTTTTTTAAATAGAACTACTTTGGATGCTTAAATAAACCTATTTTTGTAGTTTAACAATAACATATTATTCTGGATGTCCCTTCACTTTTAATGGAAAGCATATTTAACAACTGAAGTAAATCTAAAATGTTTTTATTGGGTGACATTAAAAAAAGAAATGAACAGTACATAGAAAGATTGCTTTCTAACCCTAACGAGATAAAGGGGAGTGTATGTAAAGCCTACAGCTTCTTTGAGTAGGGCAAAAACAGTACGAAGCTGAAGTGAGCTGAGACCGCGGCATCACCTAAAGCAGCTGGCTGAAAGAAAAGCACCGTAGGTGGTGCAGACGCCTAGCGGGATAGTCTCTATGCTAGAATAATGGGTAACAGCTAACCCCAAGAGACTGGCTTTTCCTTCCACTCTCTTTTCCCTGTTAACTCATTACAGTCGGGTGTCACTTCTTTGACAATAGACTGGACAAATTGACCTCAGGCTGTAGCTCACTACACGAGAGGTGAGGGAATCAGCGTGTTCTGCACTGTTTGTACATTGTGTTATCTGCATTTATTTGTGTACTGGTATGATGATAATGACAAAGTTAACACCTTAAAAAGAGTCTCAAGCAGTATATCACCCAATACTATTCTGATGGAAGCCAGTAACACAGTTTTTACAGCTGAAGTTTGAATTTCATCTTTTTAGCTTAGAAAGCCAGTTGTGACAAATGTAGCACCTGGAGCAAATTAAATCGTTGAAACACATTGAAAGCCTTCAAACTTTTTATTATGTAAGTAGAACCCAGAAAGTGTGTTAGAATGTAGTTCTGTCTTGTCAAAAACATAAACAATCCCAAAAGAGAGGTTGAAATATGTAAAAATGAATGAAACATTAATGGAATTTACATCCATACAACTGATAACTCAATGTCAGAACAATACCTAGTATATTCATTTTTGCCTTTTTTTACATAATTTAAAAAAGCCGAATGCCTTTCATAAATTGAGGTAAAATTTCATGATGGACCAACAGAAACAATCCCAAATATATAAGAATACAATACTGTTGCACTGACTTACATTTTGAGTTAGGATTGTTTTTTTCCTTCTTTTCCTGATTTTGTTCAACTGTGATGATACATAACTTGTATGACATTTTTTCATTTTATAGCTTTAGTATAAAAAGGCGTGACATTCAGTCTTGATGTGTGATGCTAGTATGTACAGTAACTGATCTAAAAGTGTTCAGTAAGCTGACAGTTTTGTGACCGTTGCAGCGAGTGGGTAGCTGGACAGCCGGATGACTGGAAGGATCACGGTATGGGAGAGGAAGGAGAAGACTGTGGACATATTTACACATCTGGGAGGTTTAACGACGCCCACTGCTCTGTTAAAATGTACTACATCTGCAAGGCGTAGATCACACTGCATGAAAATGACTGATACGTTGGATGTTCATGTAAAAAAATCATGTTGTTTTACATTTTAGCAAATCAACACTTTTCTAAACAAAACCACAATCTTCTAATTTTCTTTTGTTTTTTTTTTTGTATGATTAATAAAACTGATTCATTCTCCTTGTTGATAATAGCTGTCTTTAATTTGATTGATTCTTTTATTGCCAAACAACAGGGGTGACTCCACAAGATGTAATACAACACTGTTGACAGCACAAAACACAATAGACATACGGTACATAACAGCACATCTACATAGTCAGTGATGGGCGTTACTAAAGTACACTATATGCCCAAAAGTATGTGGACACACCTCCTAAATATTTAGTTCAGGTGTTTCAGCCGCACCCATTGCTAAGAGTTGTATAAAATCAAGCACATGGCCATGCAGTCTCCATAGACAAACAATGGCAGTAGAATGGGTCATACTTCAATGTGGCACTTTCATAGTATGCCACCTTTGCCACAAGTCAGTTTGTGAAATTTGCGTCCAGCGAGTTTTGCCCCAGGCAACTGTAGCTGTTATTGTGCAATAGGAGCAATAACAGCTCTGCTCAGCACTCACTACAGAGTTCCAGAGTGCCTCTGAAAGCAACATCAGCACAAAAACTGTGCATCTGGAACACAAGCCTAAGATCACCATGCACAATGCCAAGTGTCGGCTGGAGGGGTGTAAAGCGCCGCCACTTTAGCAGTGAAACGTATTCAGTGGAGTGACGAATCAGCTTCTCTATCTGTCAGTCTGATGGATGAATCTGGGTTTAGTGGATGCCAGGAGAACACTATGTGCCAGAATGCAGAGCCAACAGTACAGTTTGGTGGAGGAGAGATGATGGGCTGGGCTGTTTTTCAGGGTTTGGGCCCCTCAGTTCCAGTGAAGGGTGATGTTGTTGCTTCACCACAAAGACGTTTTACACAATTTTCTGCTTCCAGCTTTGTGTCAGCAGTTTGGGGAAGAGCCTTTCCTGTTCCACCCTGAGCACAAAGCAGCTCCATAAAGACATGGAGTGACCAGTTTGGTATGGAGGAACTCCAGTGGCCTGCACAGAGCCCTGACCTCAGCCCTACTGAACAGCTTTTGGATGAACTGGAATGGAGATTGTGAGCCAGGGGCTATATAACAGAATCTTCCTCTCTTTTAGACTTAACATCTCAGAGGTCAAGATTAGGAATTGTATCTTATCTTACAGCATCTTATCTCAAGATAGGAAATCTTAACCTACTTGATTGAACTCGACAATCAGCTGTCATGTCTGTTTCCTAGCAACTAACAAACATTCACACAGCTGAAACGTAAACATAATCAAAATAATCAAGTTAATTAGCCAGACAGCTACAGTTACTGATGTAAAAAAGGTCAAACAGAACTAAAGTGTAATAAACTGTAGGTTGTGAATACTGTGAGAGCGCCCCCTGCTGTTTATCAGAGCGTCGCCGCTCCCCAGTTTCAGTCTCCATTTCCCAAACGCTTTAGCCGAGCGCGCTAACGTTACTCCTCCTAATAAACAGACACACGTTCAGCTCCGTCTCCTCATTATTCACCACCATCACTGTAATATTTCATCATCAACATTAACACACGAAGGTGATCAGAGGGGCGGTGGAGATCGAGTCTGCAGCGTCTGAGATCTTTAAAACGCAGAGTTAGAAAAGAAAATCATCTCACAGTGAAAGCAGCGTTTTACAGTAGGAATAAATGGAGCTCATTATGCTGGTAGTGAACTATGCTGCTGACTCAGCTGCCTAAAAACCATAGAAACGGACCTTAAACAGAAGTGAGGACCCTGTTGGGGTTCATCCTAAAGTTAGGACAGGATTTAGGAGGTTTAGTCTAGTTAGGATGTTTGTGTGATGCTGTTTTCTTACCTGGAGTTCATGATGAGATTATGAAGTTAGGAACTGATATTCTGTAACAGCTGCTGAACTAAACTCAGTCTGTACTGAAGTCGTCATAGAGACTAAACAGGTCAGATTTCAGAGTTAAGAACTTTCTGTAATATGGCTCCTGGCTTTTTGTCCAACATCAGTGTCTGACCTCACAAATGCTCTTTTGACTGAATGGGCACAAATCCCCACAGACTCTTACTGAAAGGCTTCCCTGAAGAGTGTAGGCTATAATGCAACTCCACATTAATGTTTTACTGCTATAATTACACTTGCAGATGTTTCATTTCTTAAAGGCTTTTATAATTTTGGGATCTTTCAAAGCAAAAGAGGAGAGAAATCCAAAATAAGCCCACACACACACACACAGTTAGGCTTTTACAGTTCAGTGATTTGGTGTTGCTAAGTTTCACTATGGTCTGTAAAATGTAATATGCAGTCACACAAAGTGGTAAATGATGAATCATTTCAGAGAAGACTTCTGATACGCTGAGTCAGTTTATTTATATTCTGCATGCCTGTAACACGCAAGGCTGCTGACCACAGCCAAGCTGGACATGATGATCCAGTCTAAAAGAGGGACTGAATGCAAGGACCCTGAATGCAAACAGCAACATCTGAGTGACAGTGGAGGGTGTAGGAAACTGCAGCTCTTCAACCACAGACTTAATTAATTAGTTATTCATCTTATTATTTAATAACTACTGTGAGTTAGTCAGTAACTGTAATGGGTTAGTTAGTAAGCACTAAGATTTATTGCACTTCTACTATAAATTATTCAGTATTTACTATGAATTATTCAGTGTCTACTATGGATTATTCATTATATACTATGAATTATTCAGCATCCGCAATGAATTATTCAGTATCCAATATGAATCATTGAGTATCTACTCTGAATTAACCAGTATCTGTTATGAATTATTTATTATCTATTATGAATTATTTAGTCAGTATCACAGTTTTATTGAAAACAAAGAAAAAAGAATGAGAGAATTTTTCTTCATCCTCCAGGATGTTTGGATGCTGCAAAGTCCTGCTGAATGTGTGATCTGTGGAACGTTCTAGATATGTTAAAGGGGTGAATGTGTTTAGGTAACTCAATGGACTGAATGTTGAGGGCCTAAAATGTACATTTTTCATAACCTGTAATAGAGAACTGATGAAATAGGTGACATCTCAAACACGAGATATGAAATGAATTCATGTAGTAAAGCAAAAATAATAAGAATAAAAATACGAGTTTTGGAGGTGAAGTGTAGTTAGTGTTATAGTGCACTAGCACTGTTTTGTAAGTGCACACAGGTCAGTATGAAGGACTTTATAACTTTAACTGTCTTAAATATGTTTTAGCTTTACTTTCCCTTCATATTTGTAAATGTAATATCAGTGGGACATTAATGGCCCTTAATGGACCCTTAATCAGTTAAAGGAAACAAAAACATGTGGGTCACCCTTCGTCCAGCAGAGAGGATACAGTTAGCCGCGTCACTCACAGCATGTCAATGACTACGTGTCATGTTACTGACAATACACTTACACAACGTACACAACTTCTCAGGAAAACAGAAGAGAAAGTGCAACTGACTCACAGACCTTCAACCTTCAGCTCCAAAACTGCTGCACTTTCTCCTCATCCAGCAGATACCAAACTGACCAGATGAGCTTCACTCCACGGTTCCATGATGGATGAAGATACAGTAGGATTCAGCATGATGGACATGAATGCAGGATACAGCAAATCACGGAAAGGTTTGAGAATCAGCTTTATTTTTAATTTTAAACATTTTTATTGTAATGTAATTTGTGGTATTGCACTTTTGTTTATTGTGTTATGCATTTAAAATGCTAACAGTATCATTTACTGCAAGTTTAAAACAAGCTAATGTGTTTAATTTTTTACTCAAATAATTTAAGTTGTCAGAGAAGAAATGTAGCTAAATTTCAACTTTGTAGCAAATGTTGCTTACAAATAATAACTTTTGATCCCAAAGTTATTTTTTAAGTAGTACTTTACTTTAGAACTAACAATGTACGTTAAAATCAATTTGTAAAATTAACTTGAAATTAATTAATTTGTTAATTTATTAAGAAAAAGGAATTCCAGGGATTGAGGCAGTCAGATTCCCAACTTTATTTTTGATGCAAATTCAACATTTAAAGTACATTACAGCAACTATAAAATTGCATGTCCTGTTGTTTTTCAAATTGCTAATGTGAACTTTTGCAGAGAACACACTTAAATATTCACTATTTCTTTTCTATTTTTGAACAATGTCTATTTATTTGCTGACATTTTTGAAAAAAGGTAAAACATAAAATTTGGCATGTGGCCAAACTTCCATACATGCCGCATTTGACGTTATGTAAAAATCAGCAAATAAATAGCAACTGTGACAAAATGTGTAGAGGTTTGCTTCCTGCAGAGGACATGAGCAATTAAAAAAATCAGTAAATCATACAATTTGAGCTCAAAACTTTGTATAAGGCTGTAGATTTTTGTGCAAAATGTATGAATAATTTTTAAATTGCACACTTCCTGAGATAAATGTAATTTTCATGGATTATGCAAAATTTCAAAGCAATATTAAACCTCATCTTTTCTAGAGAGCAGGAAGAAAACTGAGAATATATTTTATATGTTAACCGTTTTTTTTGTTGTTTATTTTGTTTTGTGCAGATCGTTTCCACGGCAAGCTCAGTTTCATCCTTTTGGTATCCGGAGTGTTGGTCATCTCTGTCCTGTTTGTTATGAGTTTTGTCATATGTGAGTGTTTTAACTTTACAGTTATGACAATTTTTAAAAAAATTCAGATTGGCTTTAACTCCTGGACTGTATTAAATACATGTATGTGAAGTTCCAAATCCAAATTTTGGTCCAAAATCACAGCTCTTTCTTTATATGATTGAAACCAGCAGCTACTCTTTACTGTGTGAAAATTTAAACAGAAATGCTCCACAATTACTGTGAATAAAATCTCACCCCTGGGGCCTGATTAAGATGAATACATCTTCATTTCTCTATTTAGTTTCTGAAAGCGTTTTTAAGTGGGGCTAAACTGCTGTAGGCTGAATAGGTGGGGCTAAACAGCTGTAGGCGGAATGGGCGGGGCTAAACTGCTGTATGCTGGATGGGCGGGGCTACACTGCCATGGACTGTGAACAATTCTGACTCAGTAACTTTCTCTAGAACAGAATTCCCTTTCATATGTTTACATAAACTATATATTATTTTCTTTTAAATTTCTCCAGTTGACTATCAGGAGAGGAAGTTTGCAGAGTTGGAACGCTCCATGATGAGCCACAATTCTTCACTTAACGCGATTAATTCTGAACTGAAAGGCAAACTGGAAGACACAGGTGAGCGCTCGGAGCTTCAGCACCTTTTCTATCTCACATTACTGTACACAGCGAAACTTTAATTCAACTTTATTTGATTGAAATCTTCATAAAGCTCAGCTGCACGTTAGTTGTAAAAGTTGTAAAGTGTCAACTGTTGCCACATCTCAACATCTTGAAACAAACCAATCAAAATGCCAATGATGCATCATGTGATCACATTAAACAACATACTTTTAAACCAGTAATATAACCAGATCAATAGAAGAGAGAATGAAACAGTAGATGGTTTATTGATCCACCATTTATTTATTTTTAGCCTGCTGTTATCATGATTTATGTAGCTAGAATAAAGTTCTCCTCTCATGAAGCACAGATTCATTTGGGATCCAAACTATGAAAATCATTACAGAAGAGACGACAGAGATGATCTGTGATGAACATGTTGTGATTCTAGGACAGGATGAGTGATACATCAAATAGGCTGTAACTACAATGGTTACTTAAACGTTTATTTTCAAAGGATAACAACAGATAAAGCAATGTAAACATAAGAAGTCTACATGGATAGATACATGAGAAATATACAGATATAGAAAAAAACAATAATGACAGCTGGACAAACATATGAAGATGATAAAAATGCAGCCGGTATGTAAATGACACCATTATAGCAAGAACGATACTGTATCGAAATTATGAGCTGCTCATTTGGCTAACTAGTGGAGTAACTAAATGCATTTCACACAACTTAGTTTTGTCAAACTGCAGCGCAATTATGTTGCATGCAACTCACAACATGCAACAAGTTTCATGAAAGTTTCACCATGTAAATCCAGACTTAAATAAAACGCCAAAGCTCCAAAGTGAGAGGAGATAAAGCAGAACATGAGCTGAACGAGTACAATAAAATGAAGTTAAACCAAAAAAAGAGAATTAAGAACTAAATGTTAATGACTGAAATGGAACTGAGGAAAGATTAGGTTCAATTTATGGCATAAAACACAGTTTGACTGGTATATCAAAGTAACCCACTCTGTGGACGACTGCTGTTACCTTCAGGACCCCAAATGAAGATGTTGTCCGATGTTCAGACTTCAGTAAACAACCTGGGTTCCTTACTCGGTTCCCTTTCTTCCAAACTGGAGACCAAACAGCAGGACGCAGGTGAGACTTCTAATCAAAGACAAACATTGAAATGTTAACATTATAAAAACAGAACGTTTTATTGTTAATTCATTTTTGTTTGATCTGAAGGTGATTTTAGTGCATTGTTTTTATTGACTGTGTTCCTCTACTGTATACATCATTCATCCAGTTACATTTGTTATTCAACAACAACAACAACAACAATAATAATAATAATAATAACTATTTGTATAGCATGATTTATATTTAAATACAGCACAAAGTCCTTTACAGCACAAAATAATAAAATAATTAAACAATAAGTGCAATTACATGCACTCAATAATCCGATCACAATCGGATTTCTGCAATCATCTGATTGTTCAAATGGTCATGTAAACACCATACTCCAATCTAGAAATCAGATTAAGAGATCTGTTGAAGAGGCTGGATTTTAGCTCAGTAATCAGATTTCTGAGTGCATGTAAACTCTTACTCTGATTTCTATCAGATTTCTCATCCCATCCATCCAATCTAACACTCTGTAAATACACATACCTTCTGCTTTCCATAATGAAGTTCTGCACCACATCTCCTCCCTGCTCCTCAGTGCTATGTCAGTCCCACCACAGCTACAAGGGGGTCCGGCCTTCTAGATCCAGGCAGAAGCCACCCAGAACTCCAGCCCAAGTTCTCAGCGTTCTCTCTCCCTCAGTCTTCCCTCATACTACAAAATAATACATTCTATACTGCAAAATCATAATTCTAATAATTCTGAATTGCACTAATAACTCAAACTGAACTGAATCCTGGTGAAATTCAAGATTTCCTAAAGACTGTAAGCAGTGTGAAGTAAGAGATATACTGCCTTATACGGTAGAATTAGAGTTTTGAGTGCCTAATACTTACAACTCTTACTTTCTTTTTCCTCCTTCTGCAGCGCCCCCTAGTGGCTATTCCACCGACAGAGTGGAAATTGGCTCTGATGTTTTTAATTAATATAATCAAATAAAATACGTAAAATATGTATGTTATCAGATGAGCTGCTAGTGAGCAACGAGGGGCTAAAGCGGAGGGATGAAAACCCCTGCTGTGAAAAACTATTCACACCTATCCACAAAGACAACCGTGCTGAGACAAAACAGACAACTGCAGTTTTCTTCATATGAAACAAACCTGCACAACTGACACAACAAACACACAGCATTTAAACACAATAAACACACTTTTAGAAATGTGGACAACGAAGATGAAAATCCAGGTCCCTTTGGAGATCATACACATTTCTAAATATGTTTCAACAGCGTTATGGAAGAGAATTCCTAATGCAAAAGCTGAAGGAGCTCCAGAACATGTGGAACTATTTTATAGCTCATGTGAAAGATATTTAAATAAAAACATTGTTAGTAAATCTTAATATGTGACGTTTTCAGCCGGCCAGCAGGACGGTCAGTGCAGAGAGCTGAAGAGCTTCGTGGAACATCTGAATACCTCTTTATCAGAGCTGGCAGCCAAACTACAGGATACTGGTAAACAACATTCATGTATCTGATAAATCAATTAAATAGCTTGTATATAGTTATATGGCTGTTATATGCAGAATAAACAGCTTACAGTTACTGTACTTATAACACTTTCATGTGCTGTTTGAGATTATGAGGCAGATGTTTTGTACCATAACAAACCGTATTTCGCTGTTAAAAAGTGAGTCACCATTTACTGTACAGGTGTGATGAACTTTTGTTGTTAATAATAAGATCAAAGGGTTGGCCTTTTGCGCCTTTACATACACATTTTAAAGCAGTTTCCTTCTTAAAGCACAAAAATTACAGTGAGCCACCAAGACTGATAGTAAATACTAACTGTGAACTGTCTGACAGTCACCTGTCCAATAACACAGAGGCCTGTTTCACCTGTTGTTTTTTTCCCCATTCTGAGTTTGACTTCTCAAAACAAAAAAGAATTGTTATAATATAATAATGGCTCATTATACATTTTTGAAGAGCAATAATTCTCTATTTTGACCTAATAAATCATTATTTTTATACAGTAAATCAGAATTTCAAGAAAATGTCATTATTTTGAGATGAAAATTCAAACTGTGGACAGAAACAACTACAAAACCAACAACACATATTTGTCCTACTTGGCAGAAACAGACTTTCATGCAAATAGGACCAAACAGGGGCTGATACCGCGCTGGAAAATTACAAAGTTGACCCTTTAATTTGCATAAAAGTTCATAGTAGATAATCCACTAAACTGGCCGCCCACACTGGCTACACTATCTGAAATCAGTGCGTCTTTTAGTAAATCTGCCTCCTGTGTGTCGTAACCTGATTCTCATTTTGCTATTTCTGATTATTTGAGGTTTTTTTTTTACTTTTTCTTGTGCAGTCATGCGGCAGGATGTGAAACTGAGTGAAATTGGGGATTCCCTGACTGCTGTGAATTCATTATTGGCATCTTTTGAATCAAAGCAGCAGAAACGAACACAGGACTCTGGTGAGATACAGACTGTCTGATTTACTTTCATATTTGAACAACGTGACGTTCACGCGATCTTTAGCCATTTCCTTGATTAAATGCTTCAATCTTCATTATCAGGGATGTAACGCTAAACACGTTTTTTGTTTTTCAACAGTTAAAATTGCTCTAATTTTATACACCACTGTTTTGATTTGAGTAGCAGGCATATACATAGCTTAAGCCCCACCCACTTTACTTTGAAAGGCTGCACCCAGATGCTTTGATCATTCACAGTGATTTCCACAAAGGACAGTATATAAGCAGCGCTCTGAAGAACATCCTGGTATCTTTATTTCTCTAATATAACATATTTATTATTTTCCCCCGCAGATCAGAGAGTCATGGCAGCTCTGAGCGAAATGAAAGCTAAACTAGAGAGCAACAGTAAAGCAGCAGGTAAGAAGCTCACGCTACCTACCTAGCTAATGTTAACACAAAGGGGAATTCTATATAATTCAGTGTGTGAAAACTAATCAGAGAGATTCAGAGTGGTTTGGTGTGAAATGGCTCAGATGTCTTTACTGTGGTGGTGATAGGAACCAGGGGTCACCATGACTACAACACAAATATAGACATTTTATTTACTATCCAGAACCACCAGTGAACCTACACGAGTCTTCTGAGTTTATATGGAATGTTGATGATGGAAAATAGTGGAAAATCTGTAATAATAAGTTTTCTTTGGGGACTATTTTGCCTCACAGCGCCCTGCATGTATCCCTCCACCATGAATGGAGTTTAAGTTCTCAAAACTATCATAAAACAGTGTCTCAGTCATCAGGCAGTGAATTCATAACCATTTCATGTAGTAACTTTCTGTGAGGGAGCTTTTAGAGGTGGACGTCTGGTTCCTGTCACCACCACTGTGAACAGTTCTGACTCAGTAAGTTTATCTAGAACAGAGCATTTCACACCAAACCACTCTGAACTGCTCTGCTTACATCTTAACCATCTAATTATGCACAGAGTTGCCCTCTAAGAAACTCTTTACAAATTGATTATTCTAAAAATAACAGCCAACATATCACCGTAGTTTACATTCTGGTGGATGTAGAGATTTTGTATCAGTTCTTCTTAGAGTCATTAGAGTACAGTGCAGTCAGTGACCTGGTGCTTCATAGGAAAAATTATTTGGATTCTACAGAAAAAAACAGGAACTTTTCAGGAAAGATCACTGCAAGAATGAATTTTCTCAGTTACTTCCAGTGATAGTGCCAAATTCTGCTGATACAGTACAAACTACGGAAAAGCACCACTCAGTGGTCAGCTGCTACTTATTAAATTAGGGAAGTAATACATTTTCACTTTCACCTTATTAGGAACACCCATACATGTACTCATTCATGCAATGATCTAATCAGCCAATCATGTGGCAGCAGTGCAGCACATAAAATCATACAGGTACAGACCAGCAGCTTCAGGTAATGTTCACATCAATCATCAGAATGGGGAAAAATGTGATCTCAGTAGTTTTGAGTGTAACATGGTTGTTGGGTCCAGACAGCCTGGTTTGATTATTTGTATAACTGACGATCTCCTGGGATTTTCACACTCAGCATCTCTAGAGTTACTCAGAATAGAGCAATAAAGAAAAAAACATCTATGTAAGTTAGACAGTCTATGTAAGTTTTGTTGCTGACCATGTTCATCCCTTCATGGCCACGATTTACCATCCTCTAATGGCAACTTCCAGCATGACGATGCAACATGTCAAAAAGTAAAAGTCTCAAACTGGTTTCATGAACATGGCAGTGAGTTCAGTGTTCTTCAGTGGCCTTCACAGCCACCAGATCTGAATCCAATATCCTTTGAGATGCAGTAGAACAAGAGAGTCACTTTCAGCTGAAAAATCTGCAGGAATTGCATGATTCAATCATGTCAACATGAGTGTAATTGAAATGATGAAATGATCTTCTGAAGCCAGTCATTTTGTTGAACATACAAGTCCAGGAGATAAACAGAAGGATGTATCAATTATTTATTTTTTTAATGAAACCTTTTGCATCTCTGTACACCGTCTCTTGCCCAAGAATCTCAGAACAGGACGCTGATTGAGGTGGTGAAATTGTCTTCTTCTGTAGCGTCTCTGTCCTCTAAGCTACAGAGCACAGGTGAGGAAACAACATCCATCCTCCTTGTTCATTTATTGTATGTTAATATTTCAATATGGGGAAAGGCTCCTGCACTATTTCAATATTATATTAAAGATTCTTTTGTAAATAATTGTCAGATTGTGAAGAAAACTATACATGGCAATACTTGTGTAGGAATGACACAGTTTGGGCTCTTGGAGAATCATTATCATTTTTATTATTATTATTATTATTATTATTATTATTATTACTATTATTATTGTTCAGTTCAGTTGGAAAGTTTATTCTTCTACTCCTCCTCAGATCAGAGAGTGATGGCTGCGCTGAGTGACATGAAGACCAAACTGGAGAGCAGCAGTAAAACAGCAGGTTTGAAGATCTATATAATGTTCATATGATCCACACAGTCATTCTGACAGACTGTAATACACTACATGAAGTGTAGGGGGCGATATGGCTTCTACTGTTTGATTTAAAAAGCTCTATAATGTTCATATGATCCACACAGTCACTCTGACAGACTGTAATACACTACAGGAAGTGTAGGGGGCGATATGGCTTCTACTGTTTGATTTAAAAAGCTCTATAATGTTCATATGATCCACACAGTCACTCTGACAGACTGTAATACACTACAGGAAGTGTAGGGGGCGATATGGCTTCTACTGTTTCATTTAAAAAGCTCTATAATGTTCATATGATCCACACAGTCACTCTGACAGACTGTAATACACTACAGGAAGTGTAGGGGGCGATATGGCTTCTACTGTTTCATTTAAAAAGCTCTATAATGTTCATATGATCCACACAGTCATTCTGACAGACTGTAATACACTACAGGAAGTGTAGGGGGCGATATGGCTTCTACTGTTTGATTTAAAAAGCTCTATAATGTTCATATGATCCACACAGTCACTCTGACAGACTGTAATACAAAGTATCTATCTTATACATCTTTTTAGTTTTTATTTTCCACCACATTTTCCTTGTTTTTCAACAAATAATCTGAAGTAGGTTTGTTGAACACACAGGACCAGGGGATAAAACGAAGGATTTTTATAGTCTTTATTAATTTTATTAATAATAAATTTTTACATTTTGTCTTGCCCAAGAATCTCAGAACAGGACGTTGATTGAGGTGGTGAAATTGTCTTCTTCTGTAGCGTCTCTGTCCTCTAAGCTACAGAGCACAGGTGAGGAAACAACATCCATCCTCCTTGTTCATTTATTGTATGTTAACATTTCAATATGGGGAAAGGCTCCTGCACTATTTCAATATTATATTAAAGATTCTTTTGTAAATAATTGTCAGATTGTGAAGAAAACTATACATGGCAATACTTTAAGTGTAGGAATGACACAGTTTGGGCTCTTGGAGAATCATTATTAATATTATTATAATAATAATAATCATTATCATTATTATTGTTCACTTCGGTTAGAATGTTTGTTCTTCTTCTCCTCCTCAGATCAGAGAGTGATGGCTACTCTGAGTGATATGAAGACCAAACTGGACAGCAGCAGTAAAACAGCAGGTTTGAAGATCTATATAATGTTCATATGATCCACACAGTCACTCTCACAGACTGTAATACACTACAGGAAGTGTAGGGGGCGATATGGCTTCTACTGTTTCATTTAAAAAGCCTCTACAATGTTCATATGATCCACACAGTCACTCTGACAGACTGTAATACAGTACAGGAAGTGTAGGGGGCGATATGGCTTCTACTGTTTCATTTAAAAAGCCTCTATAACATTCATATGATCCACACAGTCACTCTGACAGACTGTAATACACTACAGGAAGTGTAGGGGGCGATATGGCTTCTACTGTTTCATTTAAAAAGCCTCTACAATGTTCATATGATCCACACAGTCACTCTGACAGACTGTAATACACTACAGGAAGTGTAGGGGGCGATATGACTTCTACTGTTGTATTTAAAAAGTGCTCTATAATGTTCATATAATCCAGAACCAGTGAAGGATTTCGATAATAATTATAAATATTAATATTAATAATAACATTTTACATTTTGTCTTTCCCAAGAGTCTCAGAGCAGGACGTTGACCGAGGTGGTGAAATTGTCGTCTTCTGTAGAGTCTCTGTCCTCTAAGCTGCAGAGCACAGGTGAGGAAAAACATTCATCTTCTTCTTCTTTTTATTTGATGTTTGAATATTAAAATACAGATTCTGCTTGTCAGGTGGCCATGCTTTGAGTGCAAGACAGTTTCGTTTCTTGGGGAATCGATTATTATCTGGCTGTTTTTAATATCATTACAATAATAATAATAATAATAATAGAGTCTGGTCAGATTGTTTCTTCTCCTCCTCCTCAGATCAGAGAGTGATGGCTGCTCTCAGTGAAATGAAGGCTAAACTGGAGAGCGGCAGTAAAACAGCAGGTATGAAGATCCATCTCCATCCCTGTATTAATGTTCATCGTTCATATTAAATCAGGAAATGTGGGTTTCTGAGTGGCTTAGCTTTATCATTTCTCATTAGGATTAAATTGGTAAAACACGACTCTCTCTGAATTTCTCTATTAAGGAGGATCGACTTGTAAGCCTGGATGGACTCTTTATGGCTCCAAGTGTTACTTTTTCTCTGATGACAAACTGAACTGGCACCAGGCACGAGATTACTGCAGGTCCCAGAATGCCTTGCTGCTCAAACTGGAAGCTAAAGATGAACGGGTGAGGAACACATGCACATTCTTTTCATATTGTCACTGTCCAAAAAACATGTATCTCCAAAACGGTAACTTTACAGGAGAGGACAGAAACTTTTACTTTTAACGTCAGTAAGAAGTTCTATTCCAAAAGGTTATAGAGCATATCTATCAATCTCTTCATCATGAAATTTTCACACAGTGTTAAAGACAGCTGGCAGGTACAAATGATAAAGAATAATAAAAATCAGCAAAAAATGGAGATACGTGTTTTTTATTTGGACAGCGATCACGTTCAGTCTGTCTCTGTATTACTGCTGTCACTATGAGCTGAAAACTTTCTACCTCTGCATTTTTTCATTATGTGTTTCATTTGTTATTATTAATATACATATATATATATATGAATAAATAAAATAAATAAAGGGGTCATTTAATGAGGCAACAGGCTTCTGAAGATGTGCATCATTCTATAGTTGGTGTGAAGTAGGGGTGGGGGAAAATATGTGCTCAATATGTGCTGATGTACTAGTATAGGATAAAAAAACCTTGTATAATATTAACAAAAACACAGAGTTACTTTGCTCTACTTTAACCTTTAACTCAGCTATAGCTGCCTTTCTCACATCTCTGACAGGAAACTTTTCCACAAAAGTAAAATTACTTCTTGTAAAATGTCTCGCAGACTTTTTACGAGGCTGAAGTCGCTTCTGTTCCGCCATCTTCTTGTTTGAACTTTTCCATTCCATCTTAAATGGTGCTTGAAGCGCCAGAATGTAACTGCAGCACCATTTAAGGTGGAATGGAAAAATTCAAACAAGAAGCTGCAGAATGAGAAACTGACTTCAGCGTCGCAACTTTTTAGTGTTTGACCCGTTTCTGATGGCAGATTAAACGTATCAGGAAACCAGCTGGAATGATTATAAATGCAAATAAGTCCATTCATCCCCAAATTTTGATGTTCATCTTAAATCTTTGTGTTTTTCTTGTCGTTAGCTACTAGCAAGGCAAAAATGTTGTCTGTGTTGCTGTGTGACCTGCAGGCTGCACCCAACCTTCAGGGTTACATGGTGGAAAATTAGCAGCATTTAAGACCATTTAGTGTTAAACTGTGCTGAATGATAAGCAGAGCTTTATTTTACTGTAAAGGAGGATTGTTTTATTTTTGCCTAATAATCAAACCGGGCAGTAAAAGAGCCGCATGTTGCCAACCCCTGAGCTTGGTTAGCGTATGGAACCACTTTGGCTTCTATGAGGTTGAAGGGAAAAATGACCTGGACAAGAGCCACACTATATGCAAGTTGGGTCACAGTAAACCAAAATATTTTAGAAACACGAGGAACATGAGAAACCATATTACACGTTTCCACCTGTTTTCCACCGGGTTGTAGTTGCTGCCAACCAGAGGACCATCAAGCAAGCGATGTCAGAGCTTTCACCCAACTTGGAAGCGAATTACAAACTCTATCGCAACTTTTATCGACAAGAATTTGCGTCCGTACTCAGGCGTTGAGAACCAGGGCTTTCGTGCTGTGTTGCACACTTTGGAGCCGAGATACAGCGACACAGTGATCACCCCCCCTGCCCCCCCACCTCTACAATGAGACCAACACCGAAGTTATAGAATCACTGAAGAAAACGGGTAGGACAGCTGGAACATGATGCATGGACATCCATCACCACAGGATCTTATTTCACTGTAACAGCACATTTTATCACAGATGAGTTGGAGGTAGTGCCTCCAAATAAGAGCAGTGAATGAGAGCCTTCCAGTTGACTTGCCTCATCGCTTCCATTTGATTTATTAATAAAAGATATTGGAAATAAATTCATTATAGACTATTACAAATACTTTTGGGAAAAAAAGAAATCCTGTATAGAAAAAAGATGCATCGATAATTGTTTTTTATCGCATCGTGAATCATAATCAAATCGGATCATGAGGTGCCTAGAGACTCCCACCACATTAGGAACTCTGGGTCTAAGCTGGTTACAGAAACTTAGTAACAGTCATTGTTGAGGCACAACCAGGGCACACTGGTGACATCATGCCCCTCCAAACTCTACACTATTTTGAACCTGCTTGTGTGGCAGCACCAAGCCTGGGTGTGTTACTCTTTGTCCTCCTTTTCTAACATGACTGTTCAGTCAGGATTTAAACCTTTCTTTGTGCTGTTCTGGTGGGATGAAAATAAGGCTGAACTGAATTTATTTCCATGGCTGTGTCTCAAAATCTTGTTCCTGCTCTCATTCTTTCTCCAGGCGTTTGTCACTGCCAGGACTACGTCGGATTTCTACTGGGTTGGTCTCACAGATGAAAACACAGGGCAGTGGAGATGGGACGATGGAACGCCTTACGTCATGAATAAAGAGTGAGTAAATTTTTTGCAAAGAACTTTCCAAATGATGCAGTGTTTAGATTACACTGCAAAAATGGGGTCTTGTCAAGTAAAATTATCTTAAATATTGTCAATAAATCTAATATTTCTCCTGTTGAGATTATTGTAAGCTTAATTTAAGATTATTTTCCTTATTTCTAGACATTTTTTACTTGTTATGGGTAATTTTATTAAGTAAAATTATCTCACTATATTTTAAGAAACATGCTTGAAACTAGCAAAATGATTTGCCAGTATAGTGAGATCATTTTAAATTACCTAATATAAGTAAATAATGTCTAGAAAAAGGTAAATACTAAGTGTTTACTAAGCTAAACTGTGCACTCTGTATTTTTGTGACACACCCACAAACAGGCCAGCGGTGCCTGCTCCTGTAAAGTTACTGTTTTGGACATTTTGGAGAGATTTTGTTCGACAGTGAAGATACATAACTTGTATAACATTTTATCATTCTATAGCTTCAGGGTATAAAAGGCTTGATGATGTGTGTACAGTTACTGGTCTAAAAGTGTGACTGTTTTGTGACCGTTGCAGTGAGTGGGAACCCGGACAGCCGGACAACTGGAAGGATCACGGTCTGGGAGAGGAAGGAGAAGACTGTGGACATATAAAGATGTCCGGGAAGTTTAATGACGCCCACTGCTCTATTAAAATGCAGTACATCTGCAAGGCGTAGATCACACTGCATGAAAATGACTGATATGTTGGATATTCATGAGAAAATCCATGTTAGCAAAATTCATTTTAGCGATTTGGTGCTTTTATTAACAAAACTAAATTCTGCTGTTTTTCATTTGCTTTTTAAATGCATAAAATACTGGATTTTTCTTTTGATTTGAAGTTGATTGATTCTTTTATTGCTACACACCTATACAACCCTGTCGTCAGTGCGAAACACAATAGTCATTAAGCGATACACAACAGCACATTCACACAGTCAGTGATGGACATTAACAAAGTAGATGTACTTCATTGCTGCACTTAAACCCTTTTTTCAAGTATCTGTACTTTTATAAGGTATATTTCTTTAGATACGAAGGACAACATGGACCTCACTCACTCACTCGCTCACTCACTCGTAATTAACAAGTGTATCCACAAGGGGGAGCTACTAGCACTCTGGTAACTTGTATACAGAACAGAAAAAAAACAAAAATATTTCAAATGTGGTAATACTGGTACCCACTGGTGCTTCACGCCAGTGACACAGGGACACAGTGTGTCCTTGTTAAAGTACATTTCTTTAAAAGTGCCCCACCTTTGTACACTTTCTCTGAAATACTGTGAAATGAAAAATTTTTGACGCACTTTCAGTCGTATCTTAGCAGCTGTACATTGGCCTGGGCAACTCTGACAAGTTTTTATGAATAAAGGAAGTGATGTATTGTTGTGTGCAATATTTTTAATCAGAGAGCCGAGATCTCAGGATTTTGGGTGGAGAGAAAAAGAGAAGAAATGTTGGATGTGTTGGAAATGTTGGATCATTAGAAAATAATAGAATCCATTTCTTTAGATACTTAAGTATGTTCAAAAGCGAGTATATTTGAGTTTTAACACAAACATATAAACAGAGCACATATATATTTATACTGTGTGGAGAAGAACATTTCTACTCTTACTGAAGCAGTGAATTTGTGTGCTTTGACCATCACTGCATACGATACACAAGAAACAAGACACAATATAGGAAGACCTACGGGTGGGCAATATGGCAAAAATATTATATCATGATACACCATATTAAAATACTATAATAATAATAATAATAATAATAATAATAAATCTATAGCTGATTTGTATTCAATGTTTTACAAACTGCACTGAAACATGTATTTAGTCAGTCCTCTTCAGAGCAACATTGTCTAACAATTTATCTTTCAGTGAAACAATGCAAAGCAACATTTAAATTTGGATGAAATTGTTTTACATCAGTTTAAACCTCAGAAACACCTCAGATCAACTTCTGTGCTGCTTCACTGTTTACAGTGTTGTTTAGGCGATCAACCAAAGAATAACATTAAACATAACTACACAGCAAATAACTCTACACACTTCATAGACTTCCCTGAAACAGTGTATCTACATCCCTGAGAACAGTTGTTAGTGTTTGTGGGTGACTCTGATTAACAGTGTATTCCTGTTATAACACTAGTGCTGATGTTCCGATGGACTGAATGAGTGTTGAGATGTTTCTGCAGTGTTTTTACAGGTGTAGAGCATTCTGCACGTTTCTGCAGAGAGGGGTGTGAGGAGGACCTGATAAAAGCTTATTTTTGATTATATTATATAGTTTTGATTATAGATAAAAACTATAAATAAAGAACATGGTGAGGTCGAATAACAATCAGCTATTACAAGAATTATAACTGATATATGATATGAATGTGTCAAGTTTATCACTACAAAGATTACTTTAATTATACATGACTGTACAATCATTCCTCTCACAGAGATCCTCAGAGGTTACTGTGCTGTTTTGTGCTGTTCAACACTGAACAAAAGAGGGCAGTAAAGAGTCTGGAAGCTTTAATACTGAACACACTGTAGGGAACTGCTGCTGCGGTGAGTAACAGCAGGCCGTCTGTCTGATACACAGAATGAGAGTGAAGGGAAACATTGTTTATTAATCTTTTATATTGTTGGTATATATGAGTGATTTTCAGTGGTGGACAGTAACGAAGTAAATGTAATTCGTTTCTGTACTTAAGTAGTTTTTTCTGTATCTGTACTGAAGTTTTTCCATTTTGGGCGACTTTTTACTTTCACTCCACCACATTTCAAAGTCAAATATCTCACTTTTTACTGCACTACATTATGAGAAATCTGTCGCTCCTTTTGGTTTATGTGTGTATAAAAACGCAACATGTCAAAACGAAAGAAGCGCAAAGGAAGAACACCAATCAGGGCACAGCGGTCACTTTGTTTAGAGCTTGTTTTGACCTGTTGGTCATACCGACCCAGTGCAGCACACGGTTCAACATCAGTGCAGCAGCATAAAATTTTGGGAGAGTCTATTCAACATAAATGATGAACTAACCTAACTTTGTGTAAACAGACCACAATATAGAAATATGTACTCATATGCAGTTGTGACTGACGTGTCTTTATTCTGAATTTATACAAACACATTTCATTTTATAGTAAATTAGTTTTGGCTGGTTTATGTTTATGAACAGAGACCTACAGATGCAGTTTAGTAAAGGAAACTCATTTGTGAATCTGAGTTTAAAGCATGTTTTTAATAAACTTATTTTAACTTGTAACTAAGTTGTAAATAAATCTTAAACTGAAACTTTGCTTGTTTGTAAAAAGTGATTTCAGAGCCACTCAGTTCTACCTGATGGAAACTGTTTGCCTTCAGTGTTTTGTGCTGATGATCATTTTAATAGACATCAGCGTCACTAATTAATGACTCTATTAAAGACCGGTTTACCAAGAGAGACACTGGAGTATTTTCACCTAAAATGAGTTAATGAAGCGAGTCTTGTTACAGAAATGATAATAGGACATCAGAGCCATAATTAATCTTTTAGTACTTTCACTTTCATACTTAAGTACATTTGAAGGCAAATACTTTTATACTTTTCCTCAAGTGGAGGTCTAAAGGGAGGAACTTCTACTTTTACTGCAGAAATATTTTACCTTGGGTGTCTCTACTTTAACTCAGGTACATGGTTTGTGTACTTCGTCCACCACTGGTGATTTTATGGCTCTGTCAGAAGTTAATTAGCTAACGTTAAATAAATTCCATTTTATCAGGCACTACTAAAATACAGTGCACACTACACTGTTAGAAATAAAGGTTCTGTTCAGGTACATTTTTCCCTCATCAAGGTACAAACAGTGTAAATGTTCCCTCAAAGCTCCAACAGTGGTTTTAAGGTCTGATTGTGAACCTTAAATAAGTTTCTCCAGGTGAAAAGTTTGTATTTGTACCTTTTCATAACCGAATGTTTTAAACAGAACAGTAAAATAAAAGCCTGGAGACGAGACGGGGTGTGTGGAGTCAGTACAGCTTAGAACATATCATTTCAGTGGATTATGGTTCAGTTATGTTCCCTGACTGAAGGTACTGAGATGGACCCTTGAGGGTTCCACCCCAGTGACAGGAGGGGAACTGACCCAGAGACAGTTTAGTACCTTTATTTCTGAGAGTGTTTTGACTAGAATTTAACAGAAAAATCAGCATTTATGTCTTTATTTTGTTTTGCACACATTCAGCCACTGATAAACTGGGAAACACTTTGCATTTGCTGAACTGATCTTAGTGATCACTGATTGAATGAGGTGATTGATTAAACTGTGTTTAGTTTGAAATAAAAGCTGAAATTGAGATCTTGTAAAATTGTAATATTTTAAACATTCTCAACAACTGTAAATAACACGATTATGTTTAAAAATCAATTGATAAGTCAAACTGAGGCTGTTACCCTGACAGTGCGGCACAAATAAACATCAGGAAAAGGTGAAATATTTACAATCCTTATAAGCGAATTTTCACACCAAATGTGTACACACTGCGTGCAAGAGCTGCAGTTATGTAAACTCCACTTTGCTGCCACGTCTGTTTCTCCAAAACGGCAGAAGATAAAAGTTCCATCAGTGAGGAACTCAGTTTATACTCTCACACTGACTTACAGTCAGAGAATCTTTAAACAGATATTAATATGAAATGAGAAGAACTATCAATATGAGATAACAATAATGAGATAATATTTTACAAATGTAAGGCACTAATTTGATACAATAAGATATAGAGTTTAAAATATGAGTTATTAATTCCAAATAATGAAATATGCTGAATTAATGAGATACTGGAAACTGATTATGAAGCTCTTTGAAACATAACAACATTTTTTGGGCAATTCAGGGCTCGTTTAGAAAGAAAGAAGACGTGTAATCAAAATTCACTGATTATTTAATTTACTCACATTAATTCACATTAAAAACAGGGTCATTAACCTTAGTTAGTTATCATCATATATAAAATACACACACACACACACACACACACACACACACACACACACACAAATATCTATATAAACTAAAGATATAAACTAAAATAATCCTTTACAAATTAACAATATAAACATTATAAATAAAAAGCAACTACACTATAAGGATATTTTACATGTGTTACACAGAATATTGCATATGGAGTATTGATTATATTGAACATGTTTATGGTGATGAATTCACAGTTCATTTCTGCAGGTGTGTGAGGTCTACTGGGGGTGGGGGGTTCTACTGGGAGCAGTGCTGGTTGTACAGTCTAACAGCAGCAGGAAGGCAGGACCCTCACACACTTGGGGTGAAGCAGCCTGTGGAATCTGCTCTGGTCACAGTTTCTCCACTCGTTTCTTTGACCAAAACTGAGAAACAGTCGATGTAAAACGAAATGTCTCTAATATCACTGGTGATGTCTGTGACTGTGGAGAGAGCATCTGATGCGTGGGGCTCAGGATCTGATCAAAGTGTCTGATGTGAAGGTTACGGATGGTGAGGGTGTTTATATTAGTGTTTACATTGTTTCTAATTATCTCATTCATAGAAAATAGAAAATCTCCTTCCTGAGAAGAAGCTGCAGAGCAGCAGGATGGAGATGTCTGAGGAGGACGTGTACCAGTCACTCCATCAGACTCCTTCAGTGAAGAACCCAAACTCAACCCACAGTGAGAACCCACAGAACCTTCAATACAGCAGAGGATGAACATTAAAATCAGTCTCACTGTCACGAATGAGCTGCTGGACGTTTTCTCTGTCCATCTCTAACAGAGCCAGTGAGGGGCAGCAGGTTAATGATGGTGCTGTTGGTCTTCAACACTCTGTTATTGATCGTTATCCTGATCATGATCGGCCTCATCAGTGAGTCTGGTGTTTTTAATAGAGGCTGTGTTCATGAACTGACAGATTCATAGTTCAGATTCAGAATGATTTAAAGGAGGATGTAAATGTACATATAAACAAATGTAGTAATTTTCCACCAAAAAATTAGATTTTTTTGTAATGTTGCAGCTGCAAAATACCAAAAAAGCGCTGGAGTGGACAAACATCAGGACAGCTTCAGAGCAGGTTTGAATATTCTGATGATATTTTGTCAGATCTTTGAAAATGCATTAAATTT